TTGAACCGTATGGTTGCAACCAAAACTGCGAACCCTGGCACCTGCACCTGCAGGAAACCTTTGGAACCCTGTTTGGGGACAAGAACGTCATAAGTGGCGCATGCTTCCAGTCCCAAAACAAATGTTCAGCATGTTGAGCAAAAAGACAAAGCTGGAAAAATAACAGGCCTTCTCTGCACCAACTTGTTTAATTACTCGAAATGGAAATACAATGGCAACAGATTACGAAACCACAATGGCTTGAAAATTGCCGAAACGACATAGAACTAAACTAATGCAGCCAAAACGCAATGCTTTGCAAAATATCCTGGACCTCTTTGAGCAAGAAAATCTCGATGGGCTCAGCAGTGACTGGGAAGCAGAGTTCGGTAAGCTTTGCAACTTCTTCCAGTAGGTCGATCGATCGCTTCGCTCTAAGGCGCGGCAAACAGTGCAAACATGTGCAAGTGAATAGTAGACAGCAAAGAAACCAAAAAAGTCAGCTGGGAACGCAAATGCCGGGTCCAATTCTGCTTGGAAGTTCACCGAAGCCTCATCCCCGAAATTTCCTGAAATGGCTTGGCCCAGCTGCAGTTCGTAGATGGCCAGCAAGGTGATGATGAGGTATGTGCTGGTGTAAGCAATATCAAGAACCGCATCCATCATCGCAGCACCCCGGCGCACCCACTTCACCGAGGGGAAGGCCAACAGAATGGTTGGATAGATGCTGTTCAGACATAGGAAACCCACAAAAGCCCAATAACATCCTTCAAACGCATCTGAATGCTTTGGAGCTGAATGGAATGCAAATGACACAAGGCCACCCATGATTTGGAGCTTTCCAAAGGCCTGTAGCATCACTGTGAATAACTGCAGCATTGCAACTTTGAAGCCGTAGAGCTTGCCTTCAATGCCAAAATACTCCTCGTAGAGCAGCTGGGTGGGTTTCAACGGTCTCAACTTGATATTGGCTGACCGACACCGGCGCAAGTCGCTCAGGAGGACGATGATCAAGGCCAGGTATGGCAAAGAGAAAACAAGGGAAGGCAACAGCTGCGAAAGGCTCTCCTCCAACCATCCAGAATCAGCAGCGACAGCCTCCGGCGATCTCCCATCACTGGGCTCAACTGTCTGCTTGAGAGCAAAGGCATCTCGGATCAATTGTGGAAGCTTGGAACGGATGAAGGGTGGACTGTACCGCACAAAGTACTGCCCCCCAAGGCACACTGCTGCCAGTAATGAGCTGATCCGAAGCAAAGCAACAACACCGACCACCAATCGTGATTGCTGTGCGGGTCGCCCAGACACAAGCAAAGGATCTACCTGCAAACTGCCTGCCAGAAGTCCCACCTGTTCTGCCAAGTGGTGCACATCATCCACTTGATTCTCCAGCTTTGTCAAAGAGGCTTCGCGGAAACGGATCGTGGCTAAATAGTGGTTGATCTTGACCACCATCTCGGCACATCTGACACCAGCATGGACTGAAGCAAAAGAATCGCGAGTACGCACGATCTCAATTTCCCTCAACTCATCATGCTCTGCTCTGGTTTTGAGAAAGCACCACGCACTGAGCATTTTCTCCCAATCGTCGAAGAGTACCTCGTAATACAAGAGATCTAAGATTTTGTCCCATCCACCTTCTCGCACGACAGCCTCTTGTGCCATCGGCAGTGTCATCAATACAGGCCGCAAATCTTGACGAGATATGGAACCGGGCTGCTCCTCCAAGAATTCTCGCAGTGGAAGGCACAGATTCTTGTCGAAGTCATCAAGATGCTTTCTGGCTTCGACGAAGTGTTCCGTCAAGCTTGTGACTTGATGCTGGGCAATATCGTCTCTACCCCAATCACCAAAAAGCCTGGACATGTCATTCTGCAAATTCTTTGCATACAAAGCTTCCGATTCAACTTCAAGCCTCCTTGACAGTGTTTTGCATTCTGTTGAGCCGAGCTGTGGTGTAAACAATGCTGACAATTGCAATTGAGATAACAATCAGAAAAATCAACGTGCCAGACACTCCTGTTGACTGAGAAAAGGCATAACTTGCAACGGGCAACAGGCTGAGAACCAGAAGAACCAACAAGAATCGGCTCTCTACCTCTGCCACTGCTTGTGCAAGAATCAGCACACTAAGCTCCACATTCTGGCGCCAAGCATTTACCGCAACCCAAATCCTCTTGAAAAGGCCCGACCAGCGGTGCCTTTCGCAATAACCGCTCTCAGAAGAATGAAAAGAATGACATGAAGGATGGCTGCATGGGAACGGTTTGTTTTCATCAAACATCTCCTGTGGAGTGCTGTGACTCTCTGTCTCTGCATCTTCTCCAGCTGATTCGTCAGTGCTTGTGGCGCTGGACCTGCCAAACCTGGTTGGCTCAAAGTACACTGAGCTGACATGTGGCAGCTGGCGGGCACTGAGTTGTCGCATGCGTTGCCAGATGAAACGGAAGCTCCGGGTGCAACGCCCTTTGATGACACTGCCAAAATCAACAGGAGCAAATCGAGCGAACCATTCTCGCTTTGGCAAACCTTCAATATTCACCCACGTGTCCAAGCTGCCTCGCAACCATTTCAGTGACTTGATGGATTGGTGAAGTTCCATCCTCGCATCAATCGACACCTGGCCACATCCGCTGAGATCAATAACTATACTCTCCAGGTTTCGAGAAGACTGCAAAGCAGAGCTGAAGCATCCGAATTCTTCCAAACATGGCAAGTTCATGAACCTGCAGCCACTGGACCGTGGCAGCTGAGAAAAATCAAAATAACAATATCATATCCATGGAATCAAAAAGAAAGCGCAGCAAACAATAAGCTGAAAATCATATTTTTTGCTGGTTCAAGATGAAGAAAAATGTGACTGGAAATTCACAACTCAGCGCACCATAGCTCCAAGTACATGAGGTTCTCCATTTCTCTCATGGCAACTCCAAGCCCTGCCGCAGTCCTGAAGTGTGCGGAACCTGTGAAGCGCAAATTCAACTGGACCAAAGACTTCAAACACTGCACCGAAGATGTAAACATGTCCAGAGTCTCAAGACCCGAGAATCCCAGATCCAATCGCAAAACGCGCAACTCTGCAGGAAGGCTTTGGATCAGCACATTGAGCTCATGGTCAGAGAAAATCCGGCATCCAGTCAGTGAAAGCTGCACTATCTTTCTACCAACGTCTGCCTTTACAGCTGTGGCCAGGAGTTCAGTGCATCTTCCTTGAAGGACAAATCCGTACCGGCTGCATAAAGCGAAGTGCGAAGCAAGAGCTTCATCTACTCGCTGGAAATTGGGATCCCCCGTGGGATACGACTGCAAAAGCTCAAAGTCGCAAGTTCCAAGACGAGAAAAGGCAATGCTGTTCAGAATTCGCACTTTGTCGATGTTCTGCGTGGCATGAGCTCCCTTGAGCGGTTGAACATTCACATTTCTAATTATGCAGCTCACTTTGTGGAAAAAGAGGAAACTTGGAATAAAATATCATACTGTGACATGAAAACAATGAACCATGGGTATTCAATGGATTGTCCAAATACATAAATTCGCTTCTCCACACAACATCAAAACAGCAAAAGTTTCTTGCAATCCTGCACCAAGTTTCTTCGATTTTGACCTTCAAGCCCTTTTCCAAAAGGTCCAGAGGAAAGTGACGCTCACGAGCTGCTTTGTGGTGCAACCCGATGATGCCGATCATTCGACTTTCTGCTCCAGCAAGTCCATCAGTAAGCACATGAGCCTCAGAGATCAACAAATTTGGAACGGTCAAAACATCACTTTTCACTTATCACCTCTTTGTAAAGATATATGGAAAGGGATGCTTACAGTAAGGTGATGTGACAAGGTTCACCATGGTGCAGAAATGGGGTTACGGTAAAGGCGATGGTCTCAACCTTTCGAGCAGACCACGCAAAGGAAATGTCCACACAAGGCCGCCACTTCTGTGTCGAGTAGCTTTGTCATATGCGTCAGTGGCTCCCACATCAAGCAGTAAACGTCGTCTGGACCAGTTGCCCTCTCGATGTTCGATCGCCTTAGTCGCTTTTAGGGTGAAAATACCGGAATTGTCTACACCAGTGTCTCCTTCGATCCACTATCTACTGAAGCATTGCCTGCCTTTACGAACATGACCTGGTGTTGCTCCTGCTCGTTATCCCCCATTCACATGTATGCAAATCAACCAAGCGATCATGCTGTTTGGTTGTGTTTCGCATTTTGCACTGAAACAAGCTAGCTGCTAGCTGGACTCAAAACGTGTCCCTTCAAGCAGAACTCACGAACGAAAAAAACTCACGTTCATGTCACGTGTTTCTCGTTCTATGATGCTTTCTCGCACTTCTAGGAATTTCTAAGGCTGGGGCAATGGCTTCCTCGAAGCAGCACCAAATCCTTTCGAAAGGCGTTCCAGCTGAATCCAGCACCAAAAGAACTCCCTCAGACATCTGCATAGCTCTGTAGAATGAAGTGCTGCGTGGATTGCTTTTGATATCCTCTTCCACGCAGTGCTGGTTATTGGCATATGCACAAACCCAATAGAATGTACTACTTGAGAGTTCTCGCACCAGAGCATGCTGCTCCAAGCAGGCCAGAAACTTACAAACAGGCTCCTCACAGATCTGCCCAACACAAAATTGGACGTGCTTCAAAGCAATAGATTGACTTTCATCTATCATTACGCTGGATGTTCATTTCTTTTTGATACCTGATACAGCATCCTATTGAGGGTCCGAAATGAACAAGTCCAAAACTCAACCAAGGCTTCTAGGGGAATGTGAATTATTAGCGGAAAAAGTAACTTGTTGCTGACAGACAACGCAATAGCAAACTCTCCAAAATCCTCAAAAGTTTGCCTATCAACCAAGGCTCGATCCAAGCATGTGACACAAACCAATGAGGTCTCTGAACTTGAATCGCCATGATCTCAACCATGCTGCAGCCCTTTTTCGCATAGCCGTCCTGGGATTCTGCATAACGTTGCCAATTAAAAAAAGAAAAACGGTAGATTCTTCAAATTGGAAAATGTTGTCACATCATCAACAAATCCAGGCTTCGGTGGCTGGTTTGATGATCCAATGATTCGCTTGATACAAGTTGAAGGTCTCAAACTGCAGCCTTGTCCCACGCTGTTCTCCGAACGTTTCGCACCATCTGTCAGCCATCTTGGAGATGAAAACAACGATCTTTGCCAATTGCTCGCGAGTGATCCCTCGCTCTGCAGTATCTTTGATGCAGAAAGCCTCCTCCGACGTGTGTGGGGCGACCAACAAATGCGGCAAATGAAATTGGAATGGAATTCAATTGAAGCATTATGCAGTAGCGAAGGTGGAATAATGGGCACAGCGTTTGTTGGTATTCGTTGCTGGTTTGTTTCTGAATTCATGCTTTGCGATACACAAAAGACTACTGAGGACTTGGGATGTTTTGTTGTACAGTACACAATCTGTCTCGCGTCTTTTTGCCAAAAAAAAAGGAACAAAGAGGCAGGTGTGTCTCCTGGTTGGTGATCTCTGAGTAGTTTGTCAAGACCAAAGTGCCGTGGTGGGTTGCCTCCACAATGTCATCGCACTGCAGCTGGCAGACCCCACTTGACAGCAACTTGTTCCCATGCCATGGGCTGTCTGGCAAACGCTCTCGTAGCAATAAAATAATGTCAGCAGCGGTTCTCGAAGCAGTCAGTTTGATATCAAAGTAACCATGTCCAGGAATATCCACAGAGACCGACATGAGGCAGCGAATCCTTTGCGCTGTCCAGCGGCACGAATTATATAAGTCCAGTCTGTAACAATACACAGATTTGTCCATGGTTTATCAAATACTTTCTCACTTTCTCTTACGCAACATGAGATTTCGCTGCTTTGTTCTCAATGTGCTTGGCTGGCCGTTTCATGTCCAGGTGAGTGTCACCGAATGCTGTGGTACAGGTCCGTCTTGAGAAGCGGAGACAATCTGCAACACCTCCAAAAGAACCAAAAGAACCAAAAGAACCAACACAGTAAACATGACCCACACGTCTTCAACGCTTGGTTTCCGAGCTCTTCCAGGACCTCTGCAGGGAAGTCCTGCAGCTGTCAAGCCTAATCAAGCCTAATCAAGCCTAATGCATATCGTGGCTCAACTTTGTTTTGCCGAACCCTGAAGGATCCTAAAGGATCCTAAAGGATCCTTCTAACAACTCTGTTCCAACATAGTGCGACAACGAGGTGGCGTCCTCAGATGGCATGCATCATGGTGGCAAGATGCACCGAATGTCCATGCTGCCGGGTGGTACCGGACAAGCTTGCAACGCCAAGTGGGGGCAACGGACAAGTGGTGTCACGACTCAAACCAAACTGTGAAAAGGTAAACTTTGATGAACTTTGAACTTCTTTTCCCTCCAATCAAACCTGGAAATGAAAACTCAATTTTCAGTACAGGAACATCAACTGAAAGTCAGCTCCAAAAGCAGGATCTCTGATCACCAAATTGAACTACCTACCGGAAACATGTTGGAAGTGCCACCTGCTAGGATCAACATTTCAGGCACTAGGTGGACCCACTGGACCCAACTCCTATCACTTTTCTAGGACAAAACAGATTCCAATCACTTGTTATTCAAATTTATTCAACATATTTGAAGGCCTCCAACCGGAAAAAAAAAACACAACGGAAATCCGAAAGCTCCGCGGAAACTTCTCCCTTGACGTCAGTATGAATCGATCGGCTCCAGCTCCACGTCCTGCCTCGCTGTCCAACTTGGCAGCCCCGCATTTCGCCTGTTTCCGAACCCCGCTTGGGATGTGTTTTTCATCCAGGAAACGGAGCTGAAATCCATCGGAGGACGTGGAGCTGAAATTTCCAGCATGTTTTGACAAATTCAGAGATCCCTACGACTTGGATAATTCCGATATTCAACGGAAAGTGCAAAGCGATTCGTCTCGCTTCGCACGGCTGGTTTTTCCACAATCATTCGACCATACCGTGGGATAAAGATTTATAAAAGTATCGCTGAATCTTCTAGATTGTCCAACAGTCGCTGACGATGAAAGCAACAATTCCATGGTTTTCATGATGATTCTGACATGATTCACGATGAATAACTACTGCAAAGTTCCGATCGAGAGATCCCGCAATGTAACGCTCCATCACGCTCCTATCTTCATGTCGCAAAGTTCTATAGCTTGTGATTAGGTGGTGGGTTAATGGCCGATCTGATTTTCAGATATCTGTTGGTTGACGGTCGGAGTTGTTGTTGACCACCCTCACCATGGATGCTGCTTCCGGACTCTCCTTGCAAAAACTATAACAAGAAACCAATGGCTGGAGTGGGCAGCCTACCCGTGAAGAAAATGCAACGAATCCAAATGCAAACGAAACAGCTGAACTGAGGCAGTTCTAGATTCAAGTGGCATTCTCCATGCGCAAAACAAGGAAAAACTATGAAAAACTCATCCCCCAAGAATTATGGAAAGCCAATTTTTTTCGTGACGTTCTCAACGTTCGGGCCCTGGGCCGGCGCCTAGTCCAACTCAGTGTGCCGAGTAACAGCGCCTGCCAGGCAATCTGAAAATTCAGTGAAACACTGGACGTGAAGCCCGCTCTAACATCATGTCACGTCTTTCAAGTTGAAGCGAAAACAAAAAAAAACAAGCGAAAACTTGCATGGCTGTGTTTTTCAGCTGCATGGAAAAAATTGCCTGAGAACATTTTCCAAATCAAGTCTTTGCTTGGCTGCTTGGGTTTGCCATGGGTTTCCCTAAGAGCGGAAAATTATGGAAAATCGTTGCACTCAAAGGTGGTTTCATTCCTTTCAAAACAACTTCACCACTCCATAACTTCGGTCACGACCGAACTATTCAGGTGCCTTGGTCTCTTGAGACCTCGAATTGTTGCGCCTGGACCTGGATCAATGCATCTCCCAAAATTCCAAACATCAAACATCCAACATGAAATATCTTGACGTGTCTGTTTTGTATTGTTTTAGAATGTTTTAGAGCTTCATCAATCTTCATCATGCGGAAGCGAAGAGGTCTTGATTCAACAAACAAGTGCTGGTTTCATACGCATTCATGATATTTATGTCGTGCTGGATCCCTGGCCAATGACAACTGGATCCCTGGCCGAAACCCATGCCACATGGTGGAAAGAGCATGATCCGCAACCCACCGCAGCTCGATCAGTTTCAAACAGACAGGTCATCCATCCGGACATCTCAGTTCATGCACTCTATCAATGAACAAATTGCAGGCAACTCGCTAAGACCGTTACGGTGCAACCAAAGCTTCTCTAACGTGTGAAGCCCTGAAAGCATATTGGCCCAGACTTCAGCAGGCAATTCGTTGAGCTTGTTGTCCTGCAGCCAAAGCACCTGCAAGTTACCGAGACCTGCAAACAGATCGGCCCAGATTTCAACAGGCATCTCATTCAGCCTGTTCTTAGCCACGCCAAGCTTTTGCAAGTTGCCGAGCCCGGAAAAAACTCCAACGGGCAACTCGCTGAGATCGTTTCCCCTCAAGGAAAGCTGCTGCAAGCTGCTGAGCCCTGCAAACACTTCAGCAGGCAACTTACTGAGTTTGTTCCACCGCAGGTCGAGATCTTGCAACTTGCCGAGCCCGGAAAAGACTTCAGCAGGTAGCTCACTGAGCGAGTTGTCACTCAGGTCGAGCTCCTGCAAAATGCCGAGTTTGGAAAAGACTTCAGCAGGTAGCTCACTGAGCGAGTTGTCACTCAGGTCGAGCTCCTGCAACCTGCCGAGCCCGGAAAAGACTTCAGCAGGTAGCTCACTGAGCGAGCTGTAACTCAGGTCGAGCTCCTGCAACCCGCCGAGCCCGGAAAAGACATCAGGAGGCAACTCGCTGAGATTGTTTTGATACAAGTAAAGCTCTCGCAACTTGCTGAGCCCTGAAAAGACGTTAGCAGACAACTCGCTGAGATCGTTTTTGCTCAAGTACAGCTTCTGCAAGTTACCAAGCCCTGCAAATGATTTGGACCAGACTTCAGAAGGCAGCTTACTCAGTTTGTTGGCACCCAGATTGAGATGTTGCAAGTTGCTGAGCCCTGCAAAGAGATTGGCCCAGACTTCAGCAGGCAACTGCCCAAGCGAGCTTTGCAGGTCCAGCTCCTGCAAGTTACTGAGTCCTGAAAAGACTCCAGCAGGTAGCGAGCTGAGACTGTTACCCCTCAGCTGGAGCTTCTGCAACTTGCTGAGCCCTGCAAAAACTTCAGCAGGCAACTCACTGAGCTCGTTTCCATGCAAGTAAAGCTCTCGCAACTTGCTGAGCCCTGAAAAGACGTTAGCAGACAACTCGCTGAGATCGTTTTTGCTCAAGTACAGCTTCTGCAAGTTACCAAGCCCTGCAAATGATTTGGACCAGACTTCAGAAGGCAGCTTACTCAGTTTGTTGGCACCCAGATTGAGATGTTGCAAGTTGCTGAGCCCTGCAAAGAGATTGGCCCAGACTTCAGCAGGCAACTGCCCAAGCGAGCTTTGCAGGTCCAGCTCCTGCAAGTTACTGAGTCCTGAAAAGACTCCAGCAGGTAGCGAGCTGAGACTGTTACCCCTCAGCTGGAGCTTCTGCAACCTGCCGAACCCGGAAAAGACTTCAGCAGGTAGCTCACTGAGCGAGTTGTAACTCAGGTAGAGCTCCTGCAACCTGCCGAGCCCGGAAAAGACTTCAGCAGGCAGCACACTGAGCTCGTTATAATTCAAAAAAAGCACCTGCAAGCTGCTGAGCCCTGAGAAGACTTCAGCAGGCAACTCACTGAGCTTGTTCTGACCCAGGTTGAGCTCCTGCAGGTTACTGAGCTCTGCAAACAGCTTGGCAAAGACTTCAGAAGGCAATTCGTTCAGTTTGTTCTCAAACAAATAAAGTTTTTGCAGGTTGCCAAGCTCGGCAAAGACTCCAGCATGCAACCGAGTGAGCGAGTTGTACCCCAGCATGAGCTTCTGCAAGTTGCCGAGCCCTGCAAACACTTCAGCAGTCAACTCACTGAGCGAGTTGTCTCTCAGGTCGAGCTCCTGCAACCTGCCGAGCCCGGAAAAGACACTAGCGGGCAACTCACTAAGTTTGTTGTATTGCAGGTTGATCTTCTGCAACTGGCTGAGCCCTGCAAAGACTTCAACCGGCAACTCACTGAGCTTGTTCCGACTCAGGTCCAGCTCCTGGAGTTTGCTGAGCCCTGAAAAGATTTCGCCTGGCAACTCAGTCAGCTTGTTTGAACCAAGGTCGAGCGCCTGCAGCAAAGGAGTCTTATCAAAGATGCCATTTGGCAGAGAGTTCAACATGTTTTCGCTCAGATCAAGAACTTGTAGCAGGGGGCTGTGCTGCAAAATTTCTTGCGGAAGTATTTTCAATGCATTTCCATCAATGATGCGATGGCCCTGCTCATCAGATTTGCCCCCCAGCAAGAATTTCTCCAGGGCTGGCATGGGGCGCAGCAAGTCTTCTGGCAACACCTTCAATCGGTTTTGGCTCAGCGACAAGATTTTCAAGTTTGACAAGCCGGCAAACGTGTCTGACTCCACCTGTTGCAAACCGAAGCGGCCCAGGTCCAAGAGTTGCAGATTGTCCAAAGGAGCGAACACCTGCTTAGGCAAAAGAAACAACAAATTGCCAGAGAGCGACAATCGTTGCAAGCCCCGGCAAGAGGTGAAGGCATCCTCCGCAATACTTGTGATGCTTTGCTTGCTCAAACTCACATCTTTGAGGCGAAGAATGCCTATAAGGTGGCAGTTCGCGAGGTGCTTTGCACCATCGTCCTTTTCCTGACAGCGACACGGAAAGCATCCGAAATCATCCTTGTGAATCGGGTAGAAGTGCGTTGAAAGCAATAGAGCAATGATCGTGACAAGCAAACAGGGCGAATACCTAAGCAGTGGTTGCAAGGAGAAACAAAGAACTCGAGTTCATCCATCAAAGCCCGATGTTGTGAAAAGGGTGGACATTCCGGCACACAAACTCACGCCATGAACAGAAACCCACCAATCTCAGGGAGTTTGATATTGAAGACATAGGTATCATAAGTATCCAATTTTTTACTTCGCGAGTGCCTTTGCTGGAACTCCAGAAATACTTGGAATGCACCTCGAAACCCTGGACCTGTGAAACTAAGTGTGAACACTGAAACGTGCTGAAAAACTTTTCAAAAGCCCTGGAACCCCATGGAACCTCCTTGGCTGTTGATGCTGGGGAACAACAACTTAAGAAGTGGTGTGTCAGATTGTATTAGTATGCTTTAGGACGCACAAAAGGGTGCAGCAAGTACAGTAAAGCTGAGAACAACAAGACGCCTCCTCTGTACAAATATGTTGAGGGGCTTCGAGATACTCACATGACAAATTGTGTCAACAGGTTGCGAAAACACGATGGATTGAAAATTGCAGAGACAACATAAAACGAAACCAATGCAGCAAAAATGCAAGGCTTTGGAACAAATCCGATATCTCTTTGAGCAGTAAAATCTGGATGGACTCAGCAGTGACCGGGAAGCAGAGCTCGGTAAGCTTTGCAGTTTCTTCCAGTAAGTCAATCGTTCGCTTCGCTCTAAGGCACGGCAAACAGTGCAAACATGTGCAAGAGAATAGTAGACAGCAAAGAAACCAAAAAAGTCGGCTGGGAATGCAAATGCCGGGTCCAATTCTGCTTGGAAATTGACCGAAGCCTCATCCCCAAAATTTCCTCGAATGGCTTGGTCCAGCTGTAGTTCGTAGATGGCCAGCAAAGTGATGATGAGGTATGTGCTGGTGTAAGCAATATCAAGAACCGCATCCATCATGGCAGCACCACGCCGCACCCACTTCCCAGAGGGGACGGCCAACAAAATGGTTGGATAGATGCTGTTCAAACAGAGGAAACCCACAAAAGCCCAAAAACATCCTTCAAACGCATCTGAATGCTTCGGAGCTGAATGAAATGCAAAGGACACCAGGCCACCCATGATTTGGAGCTTTCCGAAAGCCTGCAGCATCACTGTGAATAACTGCAGCATTGCAACTTTGAAGCCGTAGAGCTTGCCTTCAATGCCAAAATACTCCTCGTAGAGCAGCTGGGTGGGTTTCAGCGGCCTCAACTTGAGATTGGCTGACCGACACCGGCGCAAGTCGCTCAGGAGGACAATGATCAAGGCCAGGTATGGCAAAGAGAAAACAATGGAAGGCAACAGCTGCGAAAGGCTCTCCTCCAACCATCTGCCAGAATTAGACGTGATGCCCTCCGGCAATGTCCCATCACTGGGCTCAACTGTCTGCTTGAGCACGAAGGCATCTCGGATCAGTTTTGGAAGCTTGGAACGGATGAAAGGTGGACTATACCGCACGAAGTATTGCCCCCCAATGTACACTGCTGCAAGTAATGAGCTGATCCGAAGCAAAGCAACAACAACGACCACCAATCGTGATTGCTGTGCTGGTCGCCCAGACATAAGCAAGGGATCTACTTGCAAACTGCCCGTCACAAGTCCCACCTGTTCTGCCAAGTGGTGCACATCATCCACTTGATTCTCCAGCTTTAACAAAGAGGCTTCACGGAAACGGATCGTGGCTAAATAGTGGTTGATCTTGACCACCATCTCGGCACATCTGACACCAGCTTGGACTGAAGCAAAAGAATCGCGAGTACGCACAATTTCCATTTCTCGCAACTCATCATGCTCTGCTCTCGTTTGCAGAAAGCACCATGCACTGAGCATTTTCTCCCAATCGTCGAAGAGTACCTCGCAATACAAGAGATCTAAGATTTTGTCCCATCCACCTTCTCGCACGACAGCCTCTTGTGCCATCGGCAGTGTCATCAATACAGGCCGTAAATCTTGCCGAGATATGGAACCGGGGTGCTCCTCCAAGAATTCTCGCAGTGGGAGGCACAGATTCTTGTCGAAGTCGTCAAGATGCTTTCTGGCTTCGACGAAGTGTTCCGTCAAGCTTGCGACTTGAGGCTGGGCAATATCGTCTCTACCCCAATCACCAAAAAGCCTGGACATGTCATTCTGCAAATTCTTTGCATACAAAGCTTCCGATTCAACTTCAAGCTTCCTTGACAGTGTTTGCATTCTGTTGAGCCGAGCTGTGGTGTAAACAATGCTGACAATTGCTATTGAGATAACAACCATAAAAATCAACGTGCCAGACACTCCTGTTGACTGAGAAAAGCTATAACTTGCCACAGGCAACAGGCTGAGAACCAGCAGAAACAATAGAAATCGGCTCTCTACCTCTGCCATTGCTTGTGCAAGAATCAGCACACTAAGCTCCACATTCTGGCGCCAACCATTTACCGCAACGCAAATCCTTTTGCCAAGGCCCACCCAGTGGTGCTTTTCACAATAACCGCTCTCAGAACAGTGAAACGAATGACATGAAGGATGGCTGCATGGGAACAGTTTGCCTTCATCAAACATATCCTGTTGAGTGCTGTAAGTCTCTGTCTCTGCATCTTCTCCAGCTGATTCGTCACTGCTTGTGGCGCTGGACCTGCCAAACCTGGTTGGCTCAAAGTACACTGAGCTGACATGTGGCAGCTGGCGGGCACTGAGTTGCCGCATCCGCTGCCAGATGAAACGGAAGCTCCGGGCACAACGCGCTTTGATAACACCGCCAAAATCAACATGAGCAAATCCAGGGAACCAGCTTCGCTTTGGCAAACCTTCAATGTTCACCCAAGTGTCCAAGCTGCTTCGCAACCATTTCAGTGACTTAATGGATTGGTGAAGTTCCATCCTCGCATCAATCGACACCTGGCCACATCCGCTGAGATCAATAACTATACTCTCCAAGTTTCCCAAAGACTGCAAAGCAGAACTGAAGCATCCGAATTCTTCCAAACATGGCAAGTTCATGAACCTGCAGCCACTGGACCGTAGCAGCTGAGAAAAATCAAAATAACAATATCATGTCCATGGAATCAAAAAGAAAGCTTTGAAAGCGCAGCAAACAATAAGCTGAAAATCATATTTTTTGCTGGTTCAAGATGAAGAAAAATGTGACTGGAAATTCACAACTCAGCGCACCATAGCTCGAGGTACATGAGGTTCTCCATCTCCCTCAGGGCAACTCCAAGCCCTGCCGCAGTCCTGAAGTGCGAGGAACCTGTGAAGCGCAACTTCAACTGGACCAAAGATTTCAAACACTGCACCGTCGATGTGAACATGTCCAGAGTCTCAAGACCCGAGAATCCCAGATCCAATCGCAAAACACGCAACTCTGCAGGTAGGCTTTCGATCAGCACATTAAGTTCATGGTCAGAGAAATTCTGGCACCCAGTCAGTGAAAGCTGCAGCATCTTTCTACCAACATCTGCCTTTACAGCTCTGGCAAGGACTTCAGTGCATCTTCCTTCAAGGACGTATCCGTACCAGCTGGATACTGCAAAATGCGAAGCAAGAGCTTCATCTACTCGCTGGAAATTCCGATCCCCCTTGGGGTACGACTGCAAATGCTCAAAGTCACAAGTTCCAAGACGAGATAGAGCAATGCTGTTCAGAATCCGAACTTTGTCAATATTCTCGGTGACACGAGCATCCTTGAGCTGTCCAACATTCAAACTCATGATTATGGCTCGGACACCTTCTGGAAAAAGAGAGAACTTAAATTAGAATGAGCCATTTTTGAGAGGTGGCATACATAAAATGCAAATGGATGCAAATGGAGCAATATGAACAATGGACCATGGACCTTGTCCATTCAATCGATCGTCCAAATGCATAAAACGGTTCTCCAAACAACATCAAAACAGCAAAAGTTTCTTGCAATCCCGCAGCAAGTTTCTTCAATCTTTACCTTCAAGCCCTTTTCCAAAAGATGCAGAGGAAAGTGACGCTCACGAGCTGCTTTGTGGTGCAAGCCGATGATGCCGATCATTCGACTTTCCGCTCCGGCAAGTCCATCAGTAAGCACGTGGGCCTCAGAGATCAACAAGTTTGGAACGGTCGAAACTTTAAACATCACTTGTTACGTTCACCATGGTGCAGAAATGGGGGTTACGGTAAAAGGCGATGGTCTCAACCTTTCGATCAGACCACGCAAAGGAAATGTCCACACAAGGCCACCCCTTCTGTGTCGAGTAGCTTTGTCATATGCATCAGTGGCTCCCACATCAAGCAGTAAACGTCGTCTGGACCAGTTGCCCTCTCGATGTTCGATCGCCTTGGTCGCTTTTAGGGTGAAAATACCGGAATTGTTTACACCAGTGTCTCCTTTGATCCACTATCTACTGAAGCATTGCCTGCCTTTACGAACATGACCTGGTGTTGCTCCTGCTCGTTATCCCCCATTCACATCATGCTGTTTGGTTGTGTTTCGCATTTTGCACTGAAACAAGCTAGCTGCTAGCTGGACAAATCAAAACGTGTCCCTTCAGGCAGAATTCACAAACGAAAAAAACTCACGTTCATGTCACATTTTTCTCGTTTCATGATGCTTTCTCGTACTTCTAGGAATTTCTAAGGCTGGGGCAATGGCTTCCTCGAAGCAGCACCAAATCCTTTCGAAAGGCGTTGTTGTTGTTGTAAGCGGACGTCAACCTGCTCCTCACCGAAGTGAAGTAGTTAAGACGCCATAGTATGCCATCTGCGAGAATCAAGTTCCCATACTTCTCCAAGCAAAACACAAAAGAAGCGAAACCTGCCTGAAAAAAGAAGTAAACACAGTGCGCCAGCTAGCATTCCGCAAGGAATGTTTGTTGATCAAGTACGACTTGCCAAAAAGGTAAAGTCCGTAGCCGCTGCAGACGCCAAACTGCTGCAGCCCAAGCCACGGCTCGCTGATGTCGCTGCACAGCCGCAGCGATCATGGAGCGTGAGTCACGCAACACCTCACCTGCCTGAGCATCGGCTGTCGCATTGAGAACGCGGCAGAGATGAACATCAATCCAACCATCTGGTGGTGTCCAGTCAGGCACCTTGTTGTGAGAAGGGATCCAAATGCAAACAGTGCCCTGAATCAATAAGCCGCTGATCCGCTGCCAGAAAAGCGGCAAGTCACCCTCCCAACGGCCAGTGCTAATGCCTCGCTGAAGCCGCCGCACGAAAGGCGTTCCATGTGTGTGTGTGTACTTGTATGTTGCCACAGCCTGGGCCCACCGGAGTGAGTGGCTGGAGGCAACTTTCGGGCGCCATAGGCGCTGGAGACGTAGCCAAAGGCCAGGTCATGATCAGTGTGAGCAACTGATCCACCAACATGCTGTACTAGGTACAGTGCACAGGCATCGCCAAACCATACTTCCGCCAAAGCAGAAGTTGCCTCTCATCAAGGCGTGGGTACATTAACTGATGGTCTAGCACCATCTGCACTCAATTCGGTGACGGGCCCTCGCCCATCACGCATTGAAGTGAACAAGTGGTAGCCAGTGAAAGATGTGCTCAACCGAGGCAAAGAGGCAGCTGCGGTAGACGGCCTGAAGAAGAGCAGCCGTCAAGTGCACGCAGCGTGCCATGCCATGGAAGCGCCTCATCATCCAATAGCAAGAACCGAGCTCACCTGCCTCACACAAGCTGGGCCAAGCGCTCAGCTCCACAAAACTCCCGCCATATGGCGGGTTGCGACTGCCACGTCTGCAGCAGCCGCCAACCAAAACTGTAGCAGCCCTCGTCTGCAATATCCTGGATCATCTGCATCTGCATAGCTCAAACATCCCTCAGACACCAAAAGAACTCCCTCAGACATCTGCATAGCTCTGTAGAATGAAGTGCTGCGCGGGTTGCTTTTGATATCCTCTTCCACGCAGTGCTGGTTATTGGCATATGCACAGACCCAATAGAATGTACTGCTTGAGAGTTCTCGCACCAGAGCATGCTGCTCCAAGCAGGCCAGAAACTTACAAACAGGCTCCTCACAGATCTGCCCAACACAAAATTGGACGTGCTTCAAAGCAATAGATTGACTTTCATCTATCATTACGCTCGATGTTCATTTCTTTTTGATACAGCATCCTATTGAGGGTCCGAAATTAACAAGTCCAAAACTCAACCAAGGCTTCTAGGGGAATGTGAATTATTAGCGGAAAAAGATCAGGGTTCAGATAAGGGGGGAGGAGTTGTGCAGAGGACTTTGATAGGTACAAGACACAAAGCATAGGGTGCGCAACTACCAAATTCGATGCATGGTTCATGGTACCTTTTTGCAGCTACAAAATACAGAACACAACTTAATTTGACTCGGAAAATAATTCAAAATATGCACTATACAAAAACCAATGCATCTGAAGTTAAAAAATAGCTGAAAATCGGAAATGCTAACATGAATTTTCCCAATAACATTTTGTAGTTGGGCCTATGCCATCCAAAGTTCCGACCAACATAATTTCAGTAATTAAACATTTTGGGGGTGAAGTCGTGACGTCGAACTAAATCGTACAGATTTTATTGATGTTTCAATTTCCTCAACATAATATATACAAAATGCACATGAGATTTCATGTTGGATGCTTCACCTATTCAACTTGTACAACTACAAAATGCAAATGATATTTTGTGTTGGATGCTTCAACTAACTCAACATATACAACTACAAAATACAAATGAGGATTTGAAAGGAAACAACCACAAAATGAATGCAAATACAAAAAGGTTGGCCCAACTCCATTTTTTTGTACAAAACGACCCCTGGCTGGCAATCTGTACTGTAGCCCAAGTCCTCCCCTTTATGTAGCTGTTATTTGATCCCGGATGGAAAAAGAAACTTGTTGCTGACAGACAATGCAATAGCACGGTCTCAAACAACCTTGAGAGTTTGCCTATCCAAGGCTCGATCTAAGCATGTGACACAAACCAATGAGGTCTCTGAACTTGAATCGCGATGAGCTCAACCATGCTGCAGCCCTTTTTCGCATAGCCGTCCTGGGATTCTGCATGATGTTGCCAATTAGAAAAAGAAAAACAGGAGATTCCTCAAATTGGAAAATGTTTTGTCACATCATCAACAGATCCAGGCTTCGGTGGCTGGTTTGATGATCCAATGATTCGCATGATACAAGTTGAAGGTCTCAAACTGCAGCCTTGTCCCACGCTGTTCTCCGAAAGTCTCGCACCATCTGTCAGCCATTTTGGAGATGAAAGCAACGATCTTCGCCAATTGCTCGCGCGTGATCCCTCGCTCTGCAGTATCTTCGATGCAGAAAGGCTCCTTCGACGGGTCCACCAACAAATGCAGCAAATGAAATTGGACTGGAATTCGAAAAGCATTGTGCAGTACCCTCAAAAGGTTCAATCATGGGAATCATGGGCCTGCAATCTCTGAATTTCAAAAGATTGACTTCTAAACATGGTTTCTCTTTGTTCTATTTGATCCTATTGGTTGTATTGCCTTTGTTTCACATGGTCTCAATGCACAAAGGCGCCTGTTCAGTGGCCGACTGTTCCCCCACTATCAAGTAGATCTCACAAGCCACCAGTTCAAAATGCATTTAAACCACTGAATCCCAAAACAAAAAAATGAATGGGTCCATCACACTGCTGCACTTGTCGCAATTGGTACTTGTTGGCATTTAGTTTCTAATCGTGATTTGCCACTGGCTGCGGAGGACCTGACATGGTCTGCATTACCTATTGAAAAAGAAACAAAGCTGCAGGTTTCTCTCCTGGTTGGTGATCTCTGAGTAGTTTGTCAAGACTAAAGTGCTGTGGCGGGTAGCCTCCACAATGTCATCGCACTGTAGCTGGCAGACCCCACTTGACAGCAACTTGTTCCCATGCCATGGGCTGTCTGGCAAACGCTCACGTAGCAGTAAAATAATGTCAGCAGCGGTGCTCGAAGCAGTCAGTTTGATATCAAAATGACCATGTCCAGGGATATCCACAGAGACCGACATGAGGCAGCGAATCCTTTGCGCTGTTCAGTGCAGTCTGGAACAATACACAGGTTTAATATCGATGGTTTATCAAAGACTTGCTCTTGCGCAACATGAGATTTGGCTGTTGATCAGGCTGGCCAGGGTTTCATGTCAAGGTGAGTGGTACCGCAGAATGCAGCTGCAGTGCAGGTCCGTCTTGAAAGGAAGCTACGGAGACACAAATTGGGCAGCACCTCCAAAAGAACCAACGCAGTAAACACGGCCCACACGGTCAAGGAAAAGAACCACAACCACTTTGCAGAACTCCTTCGAAAGCAAGCTATGTCCAAATAGCAACACTGGATGTTCAAATGTACTATATACAATATTATTATTATATATCTATAGATATATGCTAGACGATGGAACATCCGTCATCAAGAATATTTCATGCTTGGTTTCCGCGCTCGTCTAGGACCAAGGCCGAGAAGTCCTGCAGCTCTTCGACTGACAGCAAAATGATGGGCATTGAGTTCGTTTCACCCCTGAACCCTAAAGGATTCTACAGGATCATACAGGATCCTAAAGAGACAAAACAAAAGAAATTCTGTGTTAAGTCATATTATGATCATCTATAATCCAACTTCTGACATGTACATCCTCCAATAGCGTAGCCTGGCCGTGAAAAACCAATGTTGAAAATAGGAAAGTCAACTGTAAAAGCAGGATTTCCTATCACCAGGTTTCACAACCAAAGGATACCTGTGGGGGTTGGAAGCACTTGCCACCTGCACCGGGGGCCTCAACATCTCTCTGGGACAGGGAAGGTGGACCCGGGTTTCTCTTGGAATAACGAGCCTCAACGGAAAGTTCCAAAATCGTTGTCTCTCAATGCAGTTGACCCGTCCAAAATCCATGGGCCGCATAGTGCTTGAAAGATGATGGGAATGTATGCAATCCAGATGTTCCAGAAATGTTGCTGCCAATGATAATCAAGGTCATAACCTCGCTGTTTTTCATGATGAAAACTCGTGTTACCAGTAGTATGTCAATTGGTATCAACTCTAAATCCCTGGCCATGTCCTCACCCCACGACTCTCGAAACTCGTCAATCGCGCAGTGCTGGGCATTCGAGCCGCTGCAGTGAGTTTTTCCTGCAGCGCTGGGATGAAGCCAGGCTCATCCTTTTCCCCGTGCGAAGCCCATTTCGGGGACATAGTCCCAGCAAACGGGAGACTTTTGGATAAGGCGCCCTTTATCAGGATATGACTGGTGTCTAAATATCGGAATCCCCACACAAGATGTGTAATGGTGTGTACACATGCGAAAAGCCGGTAATACGGAGCAGCTTGCGGAATAGTCACATGGTTGTCCTTTCCACACATTGAGTGGTGTAAACACCCCAAACAATGGAAACCATCTCAACTTGAAGGTGCTGAACTTCCATACAAGTTTTGGCATTGATAAGATGTTGTAAGCGTGTACATGGATAAACCCTGACCCTTTCTGCATCATCCTCCATGGTAGAAACCCTGGCAATTGTCACTATCTGCAACGCTTTCCTCAAGCGATGCACCAAAACATTTGAGATCTTCCAGGGTCAAGTCCGAGCACCTTTTCCCCAGCTAAGCCATGGATTTTGACCCAGCGGATCGACCCCCACCAGATTCTGGATTCAAATGGTGCTTTATGGTGTTATGTTGTGAGATGTTGTCATGTTCTTATAAAAGGAATGGTCATACACCCACAACTTGTCGAAACTCAAAAACTCTCGGCGTGATGTTCCCATTTGGAGCCATTGGTGCCTGGTCCAAGGCGCGACGTGCCGAATGGCAGCGCTCAGCACTTCACGTGGTCGACACAGTGGCTACACCTGTCTCAGCGGCTTCTTTCCACGTGTTTCAAAGAAACAACTTCTGTTCTGCTCCCTTCAGATTGTCTTTTTCTTGTTGGATGTCTTTCACCACAAGAGGGCCAATCTCGAACCCTACAAAGACTGAAAACGAGTTTCCAAGCGAAGGCAAGCTGGAAATACTGGGGAAGACATCCCACGCCAACAACCCCACCCAAAGATCACAACAGGAACAGAAAGTTTTCAAGGTGACTTTGATAACGTTGGCGACTTCGACTAGACTGAATTCTGGTGCCTCGGTCTTTTCAGCACGTCTCTCCAGTTGCAGCGCGCCAGGTGCTACTGCAGCGGGTACACTGGACCTCGGTCACCCAATGCATGCGCTCCCAAAACGATTCGTAAAATCATGGAAAAACATCAGAATCCGCGACAACAACATGAAACTACTTTGGAAGGGATCGTTGAAACATGTTGAAAGGTCGATCCGACTGAAATGGGGAATCGGAATCTAGTCACTTGACTGCGGAGGTTCTTTTTTCGAGATCGGTCTCCTCACGGCCCTCCGGGCACACGGGCACACTCCTTTTTTCGCCTCATCCTAGCCCCAGGCAGAGCATCCCATCATTTTCACAGAAACAGATAGCGCGTAACCGCAGGATATCTCAGTTGCTGCACTCTACTTTTGAACAAATTGCCGGCAACTCGTTAAGACCGGTACGGTACAGCACAAGCTTCTGCAACTGGTCGAGTTCTGACAGCATATTGGTCCATACTTCGTCATGCAACTCACTGAGATCATTGCCGTTTAGCCAAAGCTCTTGCAGACTTCCCAGCCCTGAAAACATATTGGCCCAGACTTCAGGGGGTAACTCGCCGAGTTTGTTGTCACCCAGCATGAGCAACCTCAAGTTGTCGAGCCCCGTAAACAGATGATCCCAGACTTCGACAGGTAACTCATTCAGCCTGCACCTATCGAGGACAAGTTTTCGCAGGTTGCCCAGCGTGGAAAAGGCTTCAGCATGCAACTTGCTGAGATCGTTTCTGCCCAAGTCAAGCTCCTGCGACGCACTTTATAGCTGAACACATTGCCGGCAACTCGCTGAGATCATTGCCGTCCAGCCAAAGCTTTTGCAGACTTCCGAGCCCTGAAAGCATATTGGCCCAGACTTCAGCGGATAACTCGCAGAGTTTGTTGTGACTCAGAAAGAGCACCTGCAAGTGGTCGAGGTTTGCAAACAGATCGGCCCAGATCTCAACAGGCAACTCACTGAGCTTGTTCTGATTCAGGGCAAGCTTCTGCAGGTTGCCGAGCCCGGAAAAGACTCCAGCATGCAACTCACTGAGATCGTTTCCGCCCAAGTAAAGCTTCGGCAAGTTACCAAGCCCTGCAAATGATTTGGACCAGACTTCAGAAGGCAACTCGCCGAGTTTGTTGGACCACAGGTTCAGCGTCCGTAAGTTGCTAAGACCTGCGAAGAGATGGGCCCACACTTCGGCAGGCAACTCACTGAGCTTGTTGGACCTCAGGTTGAGATCCTGCAAGTTGCTGAGTCCTGAAAAGACTCCAGCGTGCAACCGAGTGAGCGAGTTGTACCCCAGGCTGAGCTTCTGCAAGCTGCTGAGCCCTGAGAAGACTTCAGCAGGCAACTCACTAACTTTGTTGGACCTCAGGTTGAGAATCTGCAAGTTGCTGAGCTCTGCAAACGATTTGGACCAGACTTTAGAAGGCAACTCGCCGAGTTTGTTGGACCACAGGTTCAGCGTCCATAAGTTGCTAAGACCTGCGAAGAGATGGGCCCACGCTTCAGCAGGCAACTCATTGAGCTTGTTGGTCCCCAGGTTGAGATCTTGCAACTTTCTGAGCCCTGAGAAGACTTCAGCAGGCAACTCACTAAGTTTGTTGGACCTCAGGTTGAGACTCTGCAAGCTGCTGAGACCTGAGAAGACTTCAGCAGGCAACTCACTGAGTCTGTTCCCACCCAGGTCCAGCTCCTGGAGTTTGCTGAGCCCTGCAAAGATTTTGCCTGGCAAATCAGCCAGCTTGTTTGAACCAAGGTCGAGGGTCCGCAACAAAGGAGTCTTATCAAAGATGCCACTTGGCAGCGAGGTCAACTTGTTTTCGCTCAGATCGAGAACTTGTAGCCGCGGGCTGTGCTGCAAAAGCTCTTGAGACAGCACGCTCAGCTCGTTTCCATATATCCGTCTGAAGCCAATCTTAGCAGATTTGCCCCCCAGCAAGAATTTCTCCAGGGCTGGCATCGGGCGCAGCAAGTCTTCTGGCAACACCCTCAATTGGTTTTGGCTCAGCGACAAGATTTTCAAGTTTGACAAGCCGCTGAACGTGTCTGACTCCACATGTTTCAAACCCAAGCGGCCCAGGTCCAAGAGCTGCACGCTCTCCAACGGGGCAAACACATTTTGAGGCAAAACAGACAACCGATTCCCAGAGAGCGACAACCGTTGCAAGCCCCATAAAGAGGTGAAGGCATCCCCTGCAACACTTGTGATGTCCTGCTCACTCAAACTCACATCTTTGAAGCTCAGAACACCTACAAGGCTGCAACTCGCAAGGTGCTGTGTACCATCTTTCTTTGGGCCACAACGGCACGGAAAGCATCCGAAATCAGCTGTGTGAATCGGGTAGAAGTGCGTCGAAAGCAGCAGAGCAAGGATCGTGACCAGCAAACAGGGCGAATACCTAAGTGGCAGTTGTAAAAACAAGCAATCAAACAGAACAAATCCATCACGGCCCACTGGGGTCACGACAGCATGGCTCAAGCTAATTTCATGACGAAACCCAAATCTCAGTTGGTTGGGTACAGATGTCCAAAGTAGTCGTTTGGAATCAACCACAAAATTTCAATTCCGGCAGTGCTTGTTGGGTTTCAATCTGGGACTGGTGCATCCCGGATGCTTGGATAAATTCCTAATTTGCACTTTTGGACAAACCAACAGCTGGATAAACTTCTGAAACCTTGGAACCTATCGTGACCAGCAAGCAGGGCGCAGCGGCTGCCAAGAAGTCAAGCAAAGAAATCCGTCACAGCGTCACAGCCCGATGCGACGAAAAGGCTGGCCACTACAGCATGGGAAAAACTCAGAACAAAACAGAAACCAGGTCTCAAGGATTCTCAAAGGTTTGGGCATTGAAGATGTGAAAGGAATCCAAAGTTTTAATGAGGGACTGCCTGTGGAGGGAACACCACCCAAACCCAAGATTTTGCAAAAAATACAGTGTGGACAAAAATGTGAAACCGCTAGCAGCCGGGCCACTTCTGAAACCTTTGAATTCTGGAACCTTGGAACGCTGGTACTTTGCAACCTTGAACCTTGTGTATGGTTGCAACCAAAACTGCGAACCCTGGCACCTGCACCTGCAGGAAACCTTTGGAACCCTGTTTGGGGACAAGAACGTCATAAGTGGCGCATGCTTCCAGTCCCAAAACAAATGTTCAGCATGTTGAGCAAAAAGACAAAGCTGGAAAAATAACAGGCCTTCTCTGCACCAACTTGTTTACTCGAAATGGAAATACAATGGCAACAGATTACGAAACCACAATGGCTTGAAAATTGCCCAAACGACATAGACCTAAACTAATGCAGCCAAAACGCAATGCTTTGCAAAATATCCTGGACCTCTTGGAGCAAGAAAATCTCGATGGGCTCAGCACTAACCGGGAAGCAGAGCTCGGTAAGCTTTGCAGTTTCTTCCAGTAAGTCAATCGTTCGCTTCGCTCCAAGGCACGGCAAACAGTGCAAACATGTGCAAGTGAATAGTAGACAGCAAAGAAACCAAAAAAGTCGGCTGGGAACGCAAATGCCGGGTCCAACTCTGCTTGGAAGTTCACCGAAGCCTCATCACCGAAATTTCCTGAAATGGCTTGGTCCAGCTGTATTTTGTGGATGGCCAGCAAGGTGATGATGAGGTATGTGCTGGTGTAAGCAATATCAAGAACCGCATCCATCATCGCAGCACCCCGGCGCACCCACTTCACCGAGGGGAAGGCCAACAAAATCGTTGGATAGATGCTGTTCAAACATAGGAAACCCACAAAAGCCCAAAAACACATTTCGAATGCATCTGAATGCTTCGGAGCTGAATGAAATGCAAATGACACAAGGCCACCCATGATTTGGAGCTTTCCAAAGGCCTGTAGCATCACTGTGAATAACTGCAGCATTGCAACCTTGAAGCCGTAGAGCTTGCCTTCAATGCCAAAATACTCCTCGTAGAGCAGCTGGGTTGGCTTCAGCGGTTTCAATCTGAGATTGGCTGACCCACACCGGCGCAAGTCGCTCAGGAGGACGATGATCAAGGCCAGGTATGGCAAAGAGAAAAGAATGGAAGGCAACAGCTGCGAAAGGCTCTCCTCCAACCATCCAGAATCAGAAGTGGTAACCTCCGGCAATCTCCCATCACTGGGCTCAACTGTCTGCTTGAGCGCGAAGGCATCTCGGATCAGTTTTGGAAGCTTGGAACGGATGAAAGGTGGACTATACCGCACAAAGTATTGCCCCCCAAAGTACACTGCTGCAAGTAATGAGCTGATCCGAAGCAAAGCAACAACAACGACTACTAATCGTGATTGCTGCACTGGTCGCCCAGACATAAGCAAAGGATCTACCTGCAAACTGCCTGCCAGAAGTCCCACCTGTTCTGCCAAGTGGTGCACATCATCCACTTGATTTTCCAGCTTTGTCAAGGAGGCTTCACGGAAACGGATCGTGGCTAAATAGTGGTTGATCTTGACCACCATCTCGGCACATCTGACACCAGCTTGGACGGAAGCAAAAGAATCGCGAGTACGCACGATCTCAATTTCCCTCAACTCATCATGCTCTGCTCTGGTTTTGAGAAAGCACCACGCACTGAGCATTCTTTCCCAATCATCGAAGATTACATCGCAATACAAGAGATCTAGGATTCGACTGGGTTCACCTTCTCGCACAACAGCCTCTTGTGCCACTGGCACTGTCATCAGTACGGGCCGCAAATCTTGCCGAGATATGGAACCAGGCTGCTCCTCCAAGAACTCTCGCAGTGGAAGGCACAGATTCTTGTCGAAGTCATCAAGATGATTTCTGGCTTCGATGAAGTGTTCCGTCAAGCTTGTGACTTGAGGCTGGGCAATATCGTCTCTACCCCAATCACCAAAAAGCCTGGACATGTCATTCTGCAAATTCTTTGCGTACAAAGCTTCCGATTCAACTTCAAGCTTCTTTGACAATGTTTGCATTCGGTTGAGCCGAGCTGTGGTGTAAACAATGCTGACAATTGCAATTGAAATAATAATCATAAAAATCAACGTGCCAAACACTCCTGTTGACTGAGAAAAGCTATAACTTGCAACGGGCAACAGGCTGAGAACCAGCAGAACCAACAAAAATCGGCTCTCTACCTCTGCCACTGCTTGTGCAAGAATCAGCACACTAAGCTCCAGATTCTGGCGCCAAGCATTTCCCGCAACACAAATCCTCTTGAAAAGGCCCGACCAGCGGTGCCTTTCGCAATAACCGTTCTCAGAAGAATGAAAAGAATGACATGAAGGATGGCTGCATGGGAACGGTTTGCCTTCATCAAACATCTCCTGTTGAGTGCTGTGAGTCTCTGTCTCCGCATCTTCTCCAGCTGATTCGTCACTGTTTGTGGCGCTGGACCTGCCAAACCTGGTTGGTTCAAAGTACACTGAGCTGACATGTGGCAGCTGGCCGGCACTGAGTTGTCGCATGCGTTGCCAGATGAAACGGAAGCTCCGGGTGCAACGCCCTTTGACAACACCGCCAAAATCAACATGAGCAAATGGAGCGAACCATTCTCGCTTTGGCAAACCTTCAATGTTCACCCACGTGTCCAAGCCGCCTCGCAACCGTTTCAGTGACTTGATGGATTGGTGAAGTTCCATCCTCGCATCAATCGACACCTGGCCACATCCACTGAGATCAATAACTATACTCTCCAGGTTTCGAGAAGACTGCAAAGCAAAGCTGAAGCATCCGAATTCTTCCAAACATGGCAAGTTCATGAACCTGCAGCCACTGGACCGTGGCAGCTGAGAAAAATCAAAATTACTTTACTTCGTGTGATCCCCACCATGACATTTATACATGTTCTTACTGGCACATCTTCTGGCATTCTATCTGACATATCTTCTGACATTCTATTTGGCATTCTATCTGGCATATCTTCTGGCATTCTATTATGGCAATCTATCTGGCAATCTTCTTCTATTGGCATTATCTTCTGGCATTCTATCTGGCAGTCTATCTGGCATATCTTGGCATTCTATCTGACATATCTTCTGGCATTCTATCATTCTGGCATAATCTTCTGGCCATATATCTATATCTTCTGGCATTCTATCTGGCATTCTATCTGGCAATATCTTCTGGCATATCTTGGCATTCTATCTGGGCTTCTATCTGGCATTCTATCTGACATATCTTCTGGCATATATTCTGACATATCTTCTGGCATATCGTCTGGCATATCTTCTGGCATATCTTCTGACATATCTATCTGGCATATCTTCTGGCATATTTTCTGGCATTCTATCTGGCAAATCTTCTGGCATTCTATCTGGCATTCTATCTTCTTCTGGCATATTATCTGGCATTCTATCTGGCATATCTTCTGGCATATATTCTGACATATCTTCTGGCATTCTATCTGGCATGGCATGGCATTCTATCTGGCATATCTTCTGGCATATCTTCTGACATTCTTTCTGACATTCTTTCTAACTTTCTTCTGCACATTCTTTGTCCCATATCTTCCTACATGAGGTCCGGCAGGGAACACTGGCGTGGATACTCGCGGTTGAGGTCCGGCAGGGAACACTGGGCGTGGATGGTCGTGGTTGAGGTCCGGCAGGAACACTCGCGTTTGATACTCGCGTTGAGGTCCGGCAGGGAACACTGGGCGTGGATGGTCGTGGTTGAGGTCCGGCAGAGAACACTGTGGATCGCGGGTCGCAGTTGAGCAAGGACGACGAGGACGACGAGGAGGACGAGGAGGAGGAGGAGAGGAGGACGAGGCAGGACGAGGCGGAGGAGGAGGAGAAGGAGGAGGAGAAGGAGGAGGAGGAGGACGAGGAGGAGGACGAGGAGGAGGACGAGGAGGCAACTGACATAAAATCTAACAACCCTCACCTGGCAGGTGGGGAATAACAATATCATATCCATGGAATCAAAAAGAAAGCGCAGCAAACAATAAGCTGAAAATCATATTTTTTTGCTGGTTCAAGATGAAGAAAAATATGACTGGAAATTCACAACTCAGCGCACCATAGCTCCAAGTACATGAGGCTCTCCATCTCTCTCAGGGCAACTCCAAGCCCTGCCGCAGTCCTGAAGTGCGAGGAACCTGTGAAGCGCAACTTCAACTGGACCAAAGACTTCAAACAATGCACCGTCGATGTAAACATGTCCAGAGTCTCAAGACCCGAGAATCCCAGATCCAATCGCAAAATGCGCAACTCTGCAGGAAGGCTTTGGATCAGCACATTAAGTTCATGGTCAGAGAAATTCTGGCACCCAGTCAGTGAAAGCTGCAGTATCTTTCTACCAACGTCTGCCTTTACAGCTGTGGCCAGGAGTTCAGTGCATCTTCCTTGAAGGACAAATCCGTACCAGCTGGATAAGGCGAAGTGCGAAGCAAGAGCTTCATCTACTCGCTGGAAATTCGGATCCCCAGCGGGGTACGACTGCAAAAGCTCAAAGTCACAAGTTCCAAGACGAGAAAGAGCTATGCTGTTCAGTATACGAACTTTGTCGATGTTCTGCGTGGCATGAGCTTCCTTGAGCGGTTGAACATTCACATTTCTAATATGTAGCTCACTTTGTGGAAAAAGAGGAAACTTGGAATAAAATATCATACTGTGACATGAAAACAATGAACCATGGGTATTCAATGGATTGTCCAAATACATAAATTCGCTTCTCCACACAACATCAAAACAGCAAAAGTTTCTTGCAATCCTGCACCAAGTTTCTTCGATTTTGACCTTCAAGCCCTTTTCCAAAAGGTCCAGAGGAAAGTGACGCTCACGAGCTGCTTTGTGGTGCAAGCCGATGATGCCAATCATTCGACTTTCTGCTCCAGCAAGTCCATCAGTCAGCACATGAGCCTGAGAGATCAACAAATTTGGAAGGGTCAAAACATCACTTTTCACCTATCAATACTTATCACCTCTTTGTAACGATATATGGAAATGGAGGCTTACACTCAGTAAGGTGGTGCGAAAAGGTTCACCATGGTGCAATGGGGGTTACGGTAAAGGCGATGGTCTCAACCTTTGGAGCAGACCACGCAAAGGAAATGTCCACACAAGGCCACCACTTCTGTGTCGAGTAGCTTTGTCATATGCATCAGTGGCTCCCACATCAAGCAGTAAACGTCGTCTGGACCAGTTGCCCTCTCGATGTTCGATCGCCTTGGTCGCTTTTGGGGTGAAAATACCGGAATTGTTTACACCAGTGTCTCCTTCGATGCACTATCTACTGAAGCATTGCCTGCCTTTACGAACATGACCTGGTGTTGCTCCTGCTCGTTATCCCCTATTCACATGTATGCAAATCAACCAAGCGATCATGCTGTTTGGTTGTGTTTCGCATTTTGCACTGAAACAAGCTAGCTGCTAGCTGGACTCAAAACGTGTCCCTTCAAGCAGAACTCACGAACGAAAAAAAACTCACGTTCATGTCACATTTTTCTCGTTCTATGATGCTTTCTCGCACTTCTAGGAATTTCTAAGGCTGGGGCAATGGCCTCCTCGAAGCAGCACCAAATCCTTTCGAAAGGCGTTCTTGTTGTTGTTGTTGTTGTAAGCGGACGTCAACCTGCTCCTCACCGAAGTGAAGTAGTTAAGACGCCATAGTATGCCATCTGCGAGAATCAAGTTCCCATACTTCTCCAAGAAAAACACGAAAGGCGTTCCAGCTGAATCCAGCACCAAAAGAACTCCCTCAGACATCTGCATAGCTCTGTAGAATGAAGTGCTGCGCGGGTTGCTTTTGATATCCTCTTCCACGCAGTGCTGGTTATTGGCATATGCACAGACCCAATAGAATGTACTGCTTGAGAGTTCTCGCACCAGAGCATGCTGCTCCAAGCAGGCCAGAAACTTACAAACAGGCTCCTCGCAGATCTGCCCAACACAAAATTGGACGTGCTTCAAAGCAATACATTGACTTTCATCTATCATTACGCTCGATGTTCATTTCTTTTTGATACTTGATACAGCGTCCTATTGATGGTCCGAAATGAAGTCCAAAACTCAACCAAGGCTCCTAGGGGAATGTGAATTATTAGCGGAAAAAGTAACTTGTTGCTGACAGACAATGCAATAGCACGGTCTCAAACAACCTTGAGAGTCTGCCTATCCAAGGCTCGATCCAAGCATGTGACACAAACCAATGAGGTCTCTGCACTTGAATCGCCATGAGCTCTACCATGCTGCAGCCCTTTTTCGCATAGCCGTCCTGGGATTCTGCATAATGGGGCCAATTAAAAAAAGAAAAACGGTAGATTCCTCAAATTGGAAAATGTTGTCACATCATCAACAAATCCAGGCTTCGGTGGCTGGTTTGATGATCCAGTGATTCGCATGATACAAGTTGAACGTCTCAAATTGCAGCCTTGTCCCACGCTGTTCTCCGAAAGTCTCGCACCATCTGTCAGCCATCTTGGAGATGAAAACGACGATCTTTGCCAATTGCTCGCGAGTGATCCCTCGCTCTGCAGTATCTTTGATGCAGAAAGCCTCCTCCGACGTGTGTGGGGCGCACCAACAAATGCAGCAAATGAAATTGGAATGGAATTCAAAAAGCATTGTGCAGTACCCTCAAAAGGTTCAATCATTGGGAATCATGGGCCTTCACATGTTCTCAATGCACAAAGGCGCCTGTTCAGTGGCCGACTGTTCCCCCACTATCAAGTAGATCTCACAAGCCACCAAATCAAAACGCGTTTAAACCACTGAATCCCAAAACAAAAAAATGAATCGGTCCATCACACTGCTGCACTTGTCGCAATTGGTACTTGTTGGCATTTAGTTTCTAATCGTGATTTGCTACTTGGCATGGTCTGCATTACCTATTGAAAAAGAAACAAAGCTGCAGGTTTCTCTCCTGGTTGGTGATCTCTGAGTAGTTTGTCAAGACTAAAGTGCTGTGGCGGGTTGCCTCCACAATGTCATCGCACTGTAGCTGGCAGACCCCACTTGACAGCAACTTGTTCCCATGCCATGGGCTGTCTGGCAAACGCTCACGTAGCAGTAAAATAATGTCAGCAGCGGTGCTCGAAGCAGTCAGTTTGATATCAAAGTGACCATGTCCAGGAATATCCACAGAGTCCGACATGAGGCAGCGAATCCTTTGCGCTGTTCAGTGCAGTCTGGAACAATACACAGGTTTAATATCGATGATTTATCAAAGACTTGCTCTTGCGCAACATGAGATTTGGCTGTTGATCAGGCTGGCCAGGGTTTCATGTCAAGGTGAGTGGTACCACAGAATGCAGCTGCAGTGCAGGTCCGTCTTGAAAGGAAGCTACGGAGACACAAATTGGGCAGCACCTCCAAAAGAACCAACGCAGTAAACACGGCCCACACCGTCAAGGAAAAGAACCACAACCACTTTATTGCAGAACTCCTTCGAAAGCAAGCTATGTCCAAATAGCAACACTGGATGTTCAAATGTATTATATATACAATATTATATGTCTATAGACATATTCTAGACGATGGAACATCCGTCATCAAAGATATTTCATGCTTGGTTTCCGCGCTCGTCTAGGACCAAGGCCGAGAAGTCCTGCAGCTCTTCGACTGACAGCAAAATGATGGGCATTGAGTTCGTTTCACCCCTGAACCCTATAAAGGATTCTACAGGATTCTAAAGAGACAAAACGAAAGAAATTCTGTGTTAAGAGATATTATGATCATCTATAATCCAATTTCTGAAATGTACATCCTCCAATAGCGTAGCCTGGCCGTGAAAACCCAATGTTTCAATAGGAAAGTCAACTGTAAAAGCAGGATTTCCTATCACCAGGTTTCACAACCAAAGGATACATGTTGGGGTTGGAAGCACTTGCTACCTGCACCGGGGGCCTCAACATCTCTCTGGGACAGGGAAGGTGGACCCGGTTTTCTCTTGGAATACCGAGCCTCAACGGAAAATTCGGAAATCGTTGTCTCTCAATGCAGTTGACCCGTCCAAAATCCATGGGCCGCATAGTGCTTGAAAGATGATGGGAATGTATGCAATCTTCCAGATGTTCCAGAAATGTTGCTGCCAATGATAATCAAGGTCATAATCTCGCTGTTTTTCATGATGAAAACTCGTGTTACTAGTAGTATGTCAATTGGTATCAACTCTAAATCATTCTAAATCCCTGGCCATGTCCTCACCCCACGACTCTCGAAACTCGTCAAACGCGTAGTGCTGGGCATTCGACCAGCTGCCGCAGTGAGTTTTTCCTGCAGCGCTGGGATGAAGCCAGGCTCATCTTTTTCCCCGTGCGAAGCCCATTTCCACTGGGGACATAATCCCAGCAAACTATGGACTTTTGGATAAGGCGCCCTTAGGATAACTGGTGTCTATCGGAATCCCCACACAAGTTGTGTAATGGTGTGCACACATGCGAAAAGCCGCTAATATGGAGCAGCTTGCAGAATAGTCACATGGTTGTCCTTCATCGGTCCACACATTGAGTGGTGCAAACACCGCAAACAATGGAAACCATCTCAACTTGAAGGTGTTGAACATTGTTGAACTTCCGTATACAAGTTCTGGCATTGATAAGATGTTGTAAGCGTGTACATGGATAAACCCTAACCCTTGCTGCATCATCCTCAATGGTAGAAACCCTGGCAACTGTCACTATATGCAACGCTTTCCTCAAGCGATGCACCAAAACATTTGAGATCTTTCAAGGTCAATTCCAGGCACCTTTTTCCAAGCTAAGCCATGGATTTTGATCCAGTGGATCGACCCCCACCAGATTCTGGATTCAAATGGTGTTAGATGGCGTTCTGTTGTGTTTTGTTGTATGATGTTGTCATGTTCTTATAAAAGGAATGGTCATACACCCACAACTTGTCGAAACTCAAAAATTCTCGGCGTGATGTTCCCATTTGGAGCCAGTGGTGCCTGGTCCAAGGCGCAGCGTGCCGAATGGCAGCACTCAGCACTTCATGTGGTCGACACATTGGTTACACCTATCTCAGCGGCTTCTTTCAACGTTTTTCAAAGAAACAACTTCTGTTCTGCTCCCTTCAGACTGTCTTTTTCTTGGAGGAAGTATTTCACCACAAGAGGGCCAATCTCGAACCCTACAAAGACTGAAAACGAGTTTCCAAGCAGAGGCAAGCCGCACATACCCGGGAAGACATCCCAACAGTGGAGGTTGAAAACTTACAGAGATCACACCAGAACCGAAAGCTTCATGAAGACTTCGACTGAAGACTTTGATACCTGTGATGACTTCGACTGGACATTCCGATGCCTCGGTGTGCGAACGTCTCTCCAGTTGCGCGCCACGTGCCACTGCCACCTTGGACCTTGCTCGCCCAATGCAGGTGCCTCTCCCAAAACGACCCAAAAAATGGCAATAAATTTCACGAGGACAAACCATATGAAATGCATTGCAACTAGATTCAAAATGATTCAAAGGGGTTGTTGGAAGTGGGTGAAATGTGAAATCTCGTCGCTTGACTGTGTGATCTATACCCAGGAACCAGTCCTACACACAACCCTATCAAGCGGGCAGATGGCAGAGCACCTCATCATTTTCGCCGAAACAAACAAGGAATCCTTCATCCGCATGGCCGGACATCTTAGTTGACCATCTCAGTTGACACACTTTATAGCCGAACACATTGCGGGCAACTCACTGAGACCATTGCCCCACAGCCAAAGCGTTTGCAGACTTCCGAGCCCTGAAAACATATTGGCCCAGACTTCAGCGGGTAATTCGCCGAGTTTGTTGTACCCCAGGTTGAGCTCCTGCAAGTTGTTGAGCCCTGCAAACAGATGATCCCAGACTTCGAGGAAAAGTTTTCGCAGGTTGCCCAGCGTGGAAAAGGCTTCAGCATGCAACTTGCTGAGATCGTTTCCGCCCAAGTGAAGCTCCAGCAAGTGGCTGAGCCCTGCAAACGATTTGGACCAGACTTTAGAAGACAGTTCGCCGAGCCTGTTGGACCTCAGGTTCAGCTTCCGCAAGTTGCTGAGTCCTGAAAAGACGTTAGCAGACAACTCGCTGAGATCGTTATTGCTCAAGTACAGCTTCTGCAAGCTGCTGAGCCCTGAGAAGACTTCAGCATGCAACCGAGTGAGCGAGTTGTACTCCAGGTTCAGCTTCTGCAAGCTGTTGAGTCCTGAAAAGACTTCCGCACGCAACTCACTGAGTCTGTTCCAACCCAGGCCGAGGTCCTGCAAGTTGCTGAGCCCTGCAAAGACTTCAGCAGGCAACTCACTGAGCTCGTTCCAATCTAGGTCGAGCTTTTGCAAGCTGCTGAGACCTGAGAAGACTTCAGCAGGGAACTCACTAAGTTTGTTGGACCTCAGGTTGAGAATCTGCAAGTTGCTGAGTCCTGCAAAGACTTCAGCAGGCAACTCACTAAGTTTGTTGGACCTCAGGTTGAGAATCTGCAAGTTGCTGAGATTGGCCCAGACTTCAGCAGGCAACTCGCCAAGTTCGTTTTTGAAAAGGTCCAGCTCCTGCAGTTTGCTGAGCCCTGAAAAGATTTCGCCTGGCAAATCAGTCAGCTTGTTTGAACCAAGGTCGAGCGCCTGCAGCAAAGGAGTCTTATCAAAGATGCCATTTGGCAGAGAGTTCAACATGTTTTCGCTCAGATCAAGAACTTGTAGAAGGGGGCTGTGCTGCAAAAGCTCTTGCGGAAGTATTTTCAGTTCATTTCCATCAATGATCCGTTTGCCCTTCTCATCAGATTTACCCCCCAGCAACAATTGCTCCAGCGCTGGCATGGGGCGCAGCAAGTTTTTTGACAACACGTTCAAACGATTTTGGCTGAGGGACAAGATTCTCAAACTTGACAACCCAGCAAATGTGTCAGACTCTAAGTGCTTCAAACCCAAGCGGCCCAAGTCCAGCAATTGCAAGCTGTCCAAAGAGGCGAAGACCTTCTCAGGCAGAACAGGCAACTTATTCGCAGAGAGCGACAACCGTTTCAACCCTGGGCAAGAGGTGAAGGCATCCTCTGCAACACTTGTGATGTCCTGCTCACTCAAGCTCACATCTTTGAGGCGAAGAATGCCTATAAGGCTGCAACTTGCAAGGTGTTTTGCACCATCTTCTTTTTGCAGACAGCGGCACGGAAAGCATCCAAAATCAGTCGTGTCAATCGGGTAGAAGTGCGTTGAAAGCAATAGAGCAATGATCGTTACAAGCAAACAGGGCGAATACCTGAGCAGTGGTTGCAAGGAGAAACAAAGAACTCGAGTTCATCCATCAAAGCCCAATGTTGTGAAAGGGGGCCATTCCAGAAACCAACTCTCAAGGGGATTGACCTTGAAAATATATAGGTACTGGTATCATATAGGTATCCATGTTTTTTTACTTCGCGAATGCCTTTGCTGTGACTCCTGGAACTATGCCATCCGACAGCACCTTGCAACCGTGGAACCCTGGAAACCTGGAAACCCTGAAACCTCGGAATCCTGGACCTGTGAAACTCCTGGGAAGCCTGAAACCTGCTGAAAAACCTTTCAAAAGCCCTGGAACCCCATGGAACCCCCTTGGCTGTTGATGCTGCTGGGGAACAACTATGTAAGAAGTGGTGTATCAGATTGTATTAGTATGCTTTAGGACGCACAAAAGGGTGCAGCAAGTACAGTAAAGCTGAGAACAACAAGACGCCTCCTCTGTACAAATATGTTGGCAAATTGAGGGGCTTCGAGATACTCACATGACAAATTGTGTCAACAGGTCCAACAGGTTGCGAAACCACGATGGATTGAAAATTGCAGAGACAACAGAAAACGAAACCAATGCAGCAAAAATGCAAGGCTTTGGAACAAATCCGGTATCTCTTTGAGCAAGAAAATCTCGATGGGCTCAGCAGTGACTGGGAAGCAGAGTTCGGTAAGCTTTGCATTTTCTTCCAGTAAGTCAGTCGATCGCTTCGCTCTAAGGCACGGCAAACAGTGCAAACATGTGCAAGTGAATAGTAAACAGCAAAGAAACCAAAAAAGTCGGCTGGGAACGCAAATGCCGGGTCCAATTCTGCTTGGAAGTTCACCGAAGCCTCATCCCCGAAATTTCCTGAAATGGCTTGGTCCAGCTGTAGTTCGTAGATGGCCAGCACGGTGATGATGAGGTATGTGCCGGTGTAAGCAATATCAAGAACCGCATCCATCATGGCAGCACCCCGCCGCACCCCCTTCACAGAGGGGAAGGCCAACAGAATAGTTGGATAGATGCTGTTCAGGCATAGGAAACCCACAAAAGCCCAAACACATCCTTCAAACGCATCTGAATGCTTTGGAGCTGAATGAAATGCAAAGGATACAAGGGCACCCATGATTTGGAGCTTTCCGAAAGCCTGCAGCATCACCGTGAATAACTGCAGCATTGCAACTTTGAGGCCGTAGAGCTTGCCTTCAATGCCAAAATACTCCTCGTAGAGGAACTGGGTGGGTTTCAGCGGCCTCAACTCGAGATTGGCTGACGGACACCGGCGCAGGTCGCTCAGGAGGACGATCATCAAGGCCAGGTATGGCAAAGAGAAAACAATGGAAGGCAACAGCTGCGAAAGGCTCTCCTCCAACCATCCTCCAGAATCAGAAGTGGTAACCTCCGGCAATCTCCCATCACTGGGCTCAACTGTCTGCTTGAGAGCAAAAGCATCTCGAATCAGTTTTGGAAGCTTGGAACGGATGAAAGGTGGACTGTACCGCACAAAGTATTGCCCCCCAAGGTACGTTGCTGCAAGTAATGAGCTGATCCGAAGCAAAGCAACAACAGCGACTACCAATCGTGATTGCTGTGCTGGTCGCCCAGACATAAGCAAAGGATCTACCTGCAAACTGCCCGCCACAAGTCCCACCTGTTCTGCCAAATGGTGCACACCATCCACTTGACTTTCCAGCTTTGTCAAAGAAGTTTCACGGAAACGGATCGTGGCTAAATAGTGGTCGATCTTGACCACCATCTCGGCACATCTGACACCAGCTTGGGCTGAAGCAAAAGAATCGCGGGTACGCACAATCTTGATTTCTCTCAACTCATCATACTCTGCTCTGGTTTTCAGAAAGCACCACGCACTGAGCATTATTTCCCAATCATCGAACATTACATCGCAATACAAGAGATCCAAGATTCGGCTGGGTTCACCTTCTCGCACGACAGCCTCTTGCGCCATTGACAGTGTCATCAACACAGGTCACAAATCTTGGCGAGATATGGAACCAGGATGCTCCTCCAAGAACTCCCGCAGTGGGAGGCACAGATTCTTGTCGAAGTCGTCAAGATGTTTCCTGGCTTCGACAAAGTGTTCCGTCAGGCTTCTAAAGTGAGGCTGGGCAATATCGTCTCTACCCCAATCACCGAAAAGCCTGGACATGTCATTCTGCAAATGCTTTGCATACAAAGCTTCTGCTTCAACCTCAAGCTTCTTTGAGAGTGCTTGCATTTGGTTGAGCCGAGCTGTGGTGTAGAAAATGCTGACAATCGCAGTTGAGATACCAATCAAAAAAATCAGCGTGCCAGAAACTCCTGTCGACTCAGAAAAGCTATAACTTGCAACGGGCAACAGGCTGAGAACCAGCAGAACCAACAAAAATCGGCTCTCTACCTCTGCCACCGCTTGTGCAAGAATCAGCACACTAAGCTCCACATTCTGGCGCCAAGCATTTCCTACAACACAAATCCTCTTGAAAAGGCCCGACCAGCGGTGCTTTTCGCAATAACCGCTCTCAGAAGAATGAAAAGAATGACATGAAGGATGGCTGCACGGGAACGGTTTGTTTGCATTCAACATCTCCTGTTGAGTGCTGTGAGGCTCTGTCTCCGCATCTTCTCCAGCTGATTCGTCACTGCTTGTGGCACTGGACCTGCCAAACCTGGTTGGCTCAAAGTACACTGAGCTGACATGTGGCAGCTGGCGGGCACTGAGTTGTCGCATCCGTTGCCAGATGAAACGGAAGCCCCGGGTGCAACGCGCTTTGATAACACCGCCAAAATCAACATGAGCAAATCGAGAGAACCAGTCTCGCTTTGGCAAACCTTCAATGTTCACCCAAGTGTCCAAGCTGCCTCGAAACAATTTCAGCGACTTGATGGATTGGTGGAGTTCCATCCTGGCTTCTAGTGACATCTGGCCACATCCACTGAGATTTATGACCAAACTCTCCAGGTTTCGCGAAGACCGCAAAGCTGAACTGAAGCATCCGAAGTCTTCCAAACACGGCAAGTTCATGAACCTGCAGCGAGATGACCACAGCAGCTGGAGGATATAACGAAAACACGATCTTTTCCACGAAAAAAACGCGAAAAGAAAACAAGATCATTTATGAAAAAATATGAAAAACACAAAAAAGATTGGGGCACAATGCTGGAAAATTGCCAAACAATTGACACAAAGGATGAACATCATGCTTCTGGTTCAAAATAAAGAAAAATGCGACTGAAAATTCACAACTCAGCGCACCATAGCTCCAAGTACATGATGTTCTCCATTTCTCTCATGGCAACTCCAAGCCCTGCGGCAGTCCTGAAGTGTGCGGAACCTTGCGATTGGATCTGGGCTTCTCGGGCCTTGAGACTCTTGACATGTTTACATCTTCGGTGCAGTGTTTGAAGTCTTTGGTCCAGTTGAATTTGCGCTTCACAAAACGCGCAACTCTGAAGGAAGGCTTTGGATCAGCACATCAAGCTCATGGTCAAAGAAATTCTGGCACCCAGTCAGTGAAAGCTGCACTATCTTTCTACCAACATCTGCCTTTACAGCTCTGGCCAGGAGTTCAAGTTCAGTACATCTTCCTTGATGGACAAATCCGTACCAGCTGGCTAAAGCAAAATGCGAATGAAGAGCTTCATCTACTCGCTGGAAATTGGGATCCCCAGTGGGGTACGACTGCAAATGCTCAAAGTCGCAAGTTTCAAGACGAGAAAGAGCAATGCTGTTCAGAATCCGAACTTTGTCAATATTCTCGGTGACATGAGCATCCTTGAGCTGTCCAGCGTTCACTTTTATCGTGGCTCACTTTCTGGATCAAGAGAGAACTTAGAATCAGCCAATGTATACATGATTACTGTATTAATGTCGGTACATACCCTGTTCCATGCAAAAAAGAAATGAAATCGAACAATGGAACATGCACCTTGTCCATTCCATCAATGATCCAACTGAAAAAATAGGTATATATAAATAATTACTTTACATGGCAACAACAAGCAACATCACAACAGGGCTCTACAAGCAATCCACCAAGTTTCTTCGATTTTGACCTTCAAGCCCTTTTCCAAAAGGTCCAGAGGAAAGTGACGCTCGCGAGCTGCTTTGTGGTGCAAGCCAATGATGCCAATCATTCGACTTTCAGCTCCGGCAAGTCCATCAGTAAGTACATGAGCCTCAGAGATCAACAAGTTTAACACGGGTCAAAACAGGTTTGTCACGGCTCTGCACAGATGCAAAACAACGTTAAAAAAAAGGTGTGAAAGGGAGGTGATGTGAAAGGAGAAAGATTCAAAAGAGTGCAGAAATGGTTGGTAAGATGATGGTCTCAACCTTTCTAGCAAATCAGGCAAAGGAAATGTCCAAGGTGGCCATTGCTGTACCCAGTAGCTTTGTCATGTGTGTCAGTGGCGCCCACATCAAGCAGCAAACGTCGCCTGGACCAGTTGCCCTCTCGGTGTTCAATCGCCTCGGTTGCTTCAAGCTGCGAATCCCGGAATTGCTTACACCAGCGCCTGCTTCGATCCTTTTTTTTATAGTATAATATGATATCTACTGAAGAATTGTCTGCCTTTACGAGCCAAACCTGGTGTTGCTGCAGTTTGTTTTCTGCAATTCGTATATGCAAAAATTGATCGAGCCGTTTCATCGCATGTCGTGTTTAAAATTGAAGCAAGCTATTTGGTCAAATCCAAACATGTCCATCTCTTGATACACACACTGACACGCACCTCTTCAAAAGAAAGTTGTGATGAATTTATGGCGGAGTGGTTCGAGGTTGCTATATGTTGCTATCATGTTACTGAAACTATTCGGAAATCGCGGGAAAAGTCACCCTAGGCTCATCATGTCACATTCGTTTACAATCGTAAACATCTCTATGATGCTTTCCTGCACTTCCTGGATCTAAGGCTGCAACAATGGCCTCCTCGAAGCAGCACCAAATCCTCTCGAAAGGCCTTCCAGCCGAATCCAGCACCAAGAGAACTCCCTCAGACATCTGCATGGCCCTGTAGAAAGATGTGCTGCGCGGGTTTTTTTTGATGTCTTCATCCACAGAGTGTTGGTTGTTGGCATAAGCACAGACCCAATAGAACGTACTGCTTGACAATTCTCGCACCAGAGCATGCTGCTCCAAGCAGGCCAGAAACTTGCACACTGGTTCCTCGCGGATCTGTTCAACAATATTTTAGGCATGTTTCAAACGAAAAGATTGACGTTTCCTGAAGTTCCTGTGTTGTTACGCTTCATTTTCATAAATCACCCCATCTGGGGCACAAAAGTGAACAGGTCCAATACTAAGCAAGGATTTCAAGCGGAGGTTGTATTATTGGTGGAAAGAAGAATGAATTACTTGTTGTTGAAAGAAACGCAATAGCACGGTCTCGAACAACCTTGAAAGTTACCTATCAGCCAAGGCTCGCTCCAAGCATGTGACACAAACCACTGAGGTCTCTGCACTTGAATCGCCATGATCTCAACCATGCTGCAGCCCTTTTTCGCATAGCCGTCCTGGGATTCTGCATAATGGGGCCAATGAAAAAAGAAAAACAGGAGATTCCTCCAATTGGAAAATGTTGTCACATCATCAACAAATCCAGGCTTCGGTGGCTGGTTTGATGATCCAATGATTCGCATGATACAAGTTGAAGGTCTCAAACTGCAGCCTTGTCCCACGCTGTTCTCCGAAAGTCTCGCACCATCTGTCAGCCATCTTGGAGATGAAAACAACGATCTTTGCCAATTGCTCGCGAGTGATCCCTCGCTCTGCAGTATCTTCAATTCGGAAAGCCTCCTCTGACGTGTGTGGGGCGACCAACAAATGCAGCAAATGAAATTGGAATGGAATTCAATTGAAGCATTATGCAGTACCTTCAAAGGTGGAATCATGGGCCAATCTCTGAAATTCAAAAAAACTTCGAACAGCAGTTTCTCGTGGCCTATTTGATCCTGGTTCACCTTGGTTTCACATTGGCCTCAAGGAGATCGCAGTGACCGACCCTTCCCCGCAGCAAGTAGATCTCAACCGTGAAACGCGGTGTCGATCCACGGCGCTTGTTGTTGCTGGTGTCTGAATCATGCGGTGGCCGACTGGCAACTAAAAAATTGGGATGTTTGCGCTACAGTATATAATCTGCCTTGTGCCTTTTTGCTTGACAAAAAGAACAAAAATGCAGGTTTGTCTCCTGATTGGTGATCTCTGAGTAGTTTGTCAAGACCAACGTGCTGTGGTGGGTTGCCTCCACAATGTCATCGCACTGTAGCTGGCAGACCCCACTTGACAGCAACTTGTTCCCATGCCATGGGCTGTCTGGCAAACGCTCACGTAGCAGTAAAATAATGTCAGCAGCGGTGATCGAAGCAGTCAGTTTGATATCAAAGCAACCATGTCCAGGAATATCCACAGAGACCGACATTGAGGCAGCGAATCCTTTGCGCTGTCCAGCAGCACGAATTACAGAAATTGCAGTCTATAACAGGTGGTCTGCTGGAACTTTCTCTTGAGAAACATGAGATTGGCTGCTTTGTTCTTATGTGTTTGCTTGACTGATTTGGTTTTCATGTCAAAGTCGATAGCGCCGTACAGTGCAAATGCGGTACAAGTCCGTCTTGAGAAAACGCCAGAGGGACAAAAACAACCAAACTTCCTCCAAAACAACAGGCAATAAACATGGCCAAGCCAACATGGCCAATATTCTCAAAACAACCAAAACCACTTCACAGAACCCTTCAAAAAGGAAGCCATGTCTAAACAGCTGGAATGCATCTTCAGATATTATACTGTACTACGACATGTTTTGATGATCCATCATGCCAATCTAAAATTTTCAATGCTTGGTTTCCACACTCTTCCAGGACCACTGCAGGGAGGTCCTGCAGGTGTCGAACCCACACCAACGAATGACGCGAAATCGCCAAACTCTAAGATTCTGTTGCACCAAGATCGGGGGGCATCAAGTTGGCTTTGCCTAGAACCCTAAGGGAACAGGGCAACGAACATTTTCTCCTTCCCAACAACTCTAATTCCAAGGACAGCAGCTGACGTGGCGTCCTCTGGCAGAGTTGCTGGCAAAATGCACCTTTGCGGCGCTGGGGATCAGACAGACAAGCAAAAAGCCAACGGACGAGTTTCACAACATTTCACGAAATAAGGAACCACGTGAACGACAGGTTTAAAAGTAATGTAATTACTCCGAACTCCGAACTTTGAATTTCTGACATGTACATCCTCCAATAGCGTAGCCTGGCCATGAAAACTCAATGTTTCAATAGGAAAGTCAACTGTAAAAGCAGGATTTCCTATCACCAGGTTTCACAACCAAAGGATACCTGTTGGGGTTGGAAGCACTTGCCACCTGCACCCGGGGCCTCAACATCTCTCAATGCAGTTGACCTGTCCAAAATCCATGGGCCGCATAGTGCTTGAAAGATGATGGGAATGTATGAAATCTTCCAGATGTTCCAGAAATGTTGCTACCAATGATATCCAATGATAATCAAGGTCATAATCCCGTTGTTTTCATGATAAAAATTCGTGTCACTGCTGTAGTAGTATGTCAATTGGTATCAGCTCTAAATCATTCAAAATCCCTGCGCTCACCCCGGACTAATTTCATCCCTGATTAAATCCTCACCCCACGACTCTCGAAACTCGTTGCGCAGTGCTGGGCATTCGAGCCGCCGCAGTGAGTTTTTCCTGCAGCGCTGGGATGAAGCCAGGCTCATCTTTTTCCCCGTGCGAAGCCCATTTCCACTGGGGACAGTCCCAGCAAACGATGGACTTTTGGATAAGGCGCCCTTAGGATAACTGGTGTCTATCGGAATCCCCACACAAGTTGTGTAATGGTGTGTGCACAAGCGAAAAGCCGGTAATATGGAGCAGCTTGCGGAATAGTCACATGGTTGTCCTTCATCGGTCCACACATTGAGTGGTGTAAACACCGCAAACAATGGAAACCATCTCAACTTGAAGGTGTTGAACTTCCATACAAGTTCTGGCATTGATAAAATGGATAAACCCTAACCCTTGCTGCATCGTCCTCCATGGTAGAAACCCTGGCAATTGTCACTATCTGCAAAGCTTTCCCCAGGTAATGCACCAAAACATTTGAAATCTTTCAGGGACAAGTCCAGGCACCTGTTTCCCAGCTAAGCCACGGATTTTGACCCAGTGGATCGACCCTCACCAGATTCTGGATTCAAATGGTGTTGTGCGGTGTTATGTTGTTTGATGTTATCATGTTCTTAAAAGGGATGGCCATACACCCACAACTTGCCGAAACTCAAAAATTCTCGGCGTGATGTTCCCATTTGGAGCCAGTGGTGCCTGGTCCAAGGCGCAGCGTGCCGAATGGCAGCACTCAGCACTTCATGCGGTGGACACATTGGTTACACCTGTCTCAGCGACTTCTTTCCACGTTTTGCAAAGAAACAACTTCTGTTCTGCTCCCTTCAGACTGTCTTTTCCTTGTTGGAAGTCTTTCACCACAAGAGGGCCAATTTTGAACCCTACAAAGCCTGAAAACGAGTTTCCAAGCAAAGGCAAGCCGCAAATACCCGGGAAGACATCCCAACAATGGAGGTTGAAAACTTACAGAGATCACACCAGAACCGAAAGCTTCATGAAAATGACTTTGATACCTGTGATGACTTCGACTGGACATTCCGATGCCTCGGTCTGCGAACGTCTCTCCAGTTGCGTGCCACGTGCCACTGCCACCTTGGACCTTGGTCGCCCAATGCAGGTGCTACTCTCAAAACGCCCCAAAAAATCAAAAAATAACGAAACAAGAATAGAACGCAATAAATTTCACGAGGACAAACCATATGAAATGCATTGAAACTAGATTCAAAATGATTCAAAGGGGTTGTTGGAAGTGGGTGAAGTGTGAAATCTCGTCGCTTGACTGTGTGATCTATACCCAGGAACCAGTCCTACCCACAACCCTATCAAGCGGACAGATGGCAGAGCACCCCATCATTTTCGCCGAAACAAACAAGGAATCCTTCATCCGCATAGCCGGACATCTCAGTTGACACACTTTATAGCCGAACAAATTGCGGGCAACTCACTGAGACCATTGCCCCACAGCCAAAGCTCCCGCAGGCTTCCAAGCCCCGCAAACAGATGATCCCAGACTTCGACAGGTAACTCCTTCAGCCTGCAATTATCGAGGACAAGCATTCGCAGGTTGCCCAGCGTGGAAAAGGCTTCAGCATGCAACTTGCTGAGATCGTTTCCGGCCAAGTAAAGCTCCTGCAAGTGGCTGAGCCCTGCAAACGATTTGGACCAGACTTTAGAAGACAACTCGCCGAGCCTGTTGGACCTCAGGTCGAGCTCTTGCAAGTTGCTAAGACCTGCAAACAGATCGGCCCAGATCTCAACAGGCAACTCATTGAGCCTGTTCTCATGCAGGACAAGCTTCTGCAGGTTGCCGAGCCCGGAAAAGACTCCAGCATGCAACTCACTGAGATCGTTTCGCTCCAAGTAAAGCTCCTGCAAGCTGCTGAGCCCTGCAAACGATTTGGACCAGACTTTAGAAGGCAACTTGCCGAGTTGGTTGGACCTCAGGTCTAGCTTCCGCAAGTTGCTAAGACCTGCGAAGAGATGGGCCCACACTTCAGCAGGCAACTTACTGAGCGAGTTGTACCCCAGGTTGAGATGTTGCAAATTTCTGAGCCCTGAGAAGACTTCAGCAGGCAACTCACGGAGCCAGTTCGAAAACAGGTCAAGCTCCTGCAAGTTACTGAGTCCTGAAAAGACTCCAGCATGCAACCGAGTGAGCGAGTTGTACCCCAGGTTGAGCTTCTGCAAGCTGCTGAGACCTGAGAAAACTTCAGCAGGCAACTCACTGAGCGAGTTGTAATGCAGGTCGAGCTCCTGCAACCTGCCGAGCCCGGAAAAGACTTCAGCAGGTAGCTCACTAAGCTTGTTGGACCCCAGGTCGAGGCTTTGCAAGCTGCTGAGCCCTGCAATCAGCAGGCAACTCGCTGAGTTCGTTCGAACGCAGGACGAGCTCCTGGAGTTTGTTGAGCCCTGAAAAGATTTTGCCTGGCAATTCAGTCAGCTTGTTTGAACCAAGGTCGAGGGTCTCCAACAAAGGAATTTGATCAAGGATGTTGTGTGGCAGCGAGGTCAACTTGTTTTCGCTCAGATCGAGAACTTGTAGCAGGGGGCTGTGCTGCAAAAGCTCTTGCGGAAGTATTTTCAGTTCATTTCCATCAACGATCCGATTGAACTGCTCATCAGTTTTCCCCCCCAGCAAGAATTGCTGCAGGGCTGGCATGGGGCGCAGCAAGTCTCTTGGCAATGCGTTCAAACGATTTTGGCTGAGGGACAAGATTCTCAAACTTGACAACCCAGCAAATGTGTCAGACTCCAAGTGCTTCAAACCCAAGCGGCCCAAGTCCAGCAATTGCAAGCTGTCCAAAGGAGCGAACACCTTCTCAGGTAAAAATGGCAACCGATTGCCAGAGAGCGATAACCGTTGCAAGCCCCTCGAAGAGGTGAAGGCATCGTCTGCAACACTTGTGATGCTTTGCTCACTCAAACTCACATCTTTGAGGTGAAGAACGCCTACAAGGCTGCAACTCGCAAGGTGCTTTGCACCATGATCCTTTTGGTGACAGCGGCACGGAAAGCATCCGAAATCAGCCGTGTGAATCGGGTAGAAGTGTGACGAAAGCAGCAGGGCAACGATCGTGGCAAGCAAACAGGGCGAATACCTAAGCAGCGGTTGCAAGGAGAAACGAAGAACTCGAGTTCATCCATCAAAGCCCAATGGTATGAAAGGGGGGCCATTCTGGCACACAAACTCACGCCATGAAACAGAAACCCAATCTCAGGTATCCAACTTTTTTACTTCGCAAATGCCTGTGGTGTGACTCCTGAAATACTTGGAATGCACCTCGGAATCCTGGACCTGTGAAACTCCTGGGAACCCTGAAACGTGCCGAAAAACCTTTCAAAGCCCTGGAACCCCATGGAACCCCCTTGGCTGTTGATGCTGCTGGGGAACAACTATGTAAGAAGTGGTGTATCAGATTGTATTAGTATGCTTTAGGACGCACAAAAGGGTGCAGCAAGTACAGTAAAGCTGAGAACAACAAGATGCCCTCTCTTTACAAATATGTTGGGGGGATTCGAGATACTCACACGACAAATTGTGTCAACAGGTTGCGAAACCACGATGGATTGAAAATTGCAGAGACAACATAAAACGAAACCAATGAAACCAATGCAGCAAAAATACAAGGCTTTGGAACAAATCCGATATCTCTTTGAGCAAGAAAATCTCGATGGGCTCAGCAGTGACTGGGAAGCAGAGTTCGGTAAGCTTTGCATTTTCTTCCAGTAAGTCAATCGATCCGTGCGCTCCAAGGCACGGCAAACTGTGCAAACATGTGCAAGTGAATAGTAGACAGCAAAGAAACCGAAAAAGTCGGCTGGGAACGCAAATGCCGGGTCCAACTCTGCTTGGAAGTTGACCGAAGCCTCATCCCCGAAATTTCCTTGAATGGCTTGGCCCAGCTGTAGTTCGTGGATGGCCAGCAAGGTGATGATGAGGTATGTGCTGGTGTAAACAATATCAAGAACTGCATCCATCATCGCAGCGCCACGGCGCACCCACTTCACAGAGTGTAAACCCAACAAAATGGTTGGATAGATGCTGTTCAAACAGAGGAAACCCACAAAAGCCCAAAAACATCTTTCGAATGCACCTGAATGCTTCGGAGCTGAATGGAATGCAAACGACACAAGGCCACCCATAATTTGGAGCTTTCCAAAGGCCTGCAGCATCACTGTGAATAACTGCAGCATTGCAACTTTGAAGCCGTAGAGCTTGCCTTCAATGCCAAAATATTCCTCATAGAGCAGCTGGGTGGGTTTCAGCGGCCTCAACTTGATATTGGCTGACCGACACCGGCGCAAGTCGCTCAGGAGGACGATCATCAAGGCCATGTATGGCAAAGAGAAAACAATGGAAGGCAACAGCGGCAAAAGGCTCTCCTCCAACCATCCAGAATCAGCAGCGGCAGCCTCCGGCAATCTCCCATCGCTGGGCTCAACCGTCTGCTTGAGAGCAAAAGCATCTCGAATCAGTTGCGGAAGGTTTGAACGGATGAACAGTGGACTGTACCGCACAAAGTATTGCCCCCCAAAGTACACTGCTGCAAGTAATGAGCTGATCCGAAGCAAAGCAACAACAACGACTACCAATCGTGATTGCTGTGCTGGTCGCCCAGACACAAGCAAAGGATCTACCTGCAAACTGCCTGCCAGAAGTCCCACCTGTTCTGCCAAGTGGTGCACATCATCCACTTGATTTTCCAGCTTTGTCAAGGAGGCTTCAAGGAAACGGATCGTGGCTAAATAGTGGTTGATCTTGACCACCATCTCGGCACATCTGACACCAGCTTGGACGGAAGCAAAAGAATCGCGAGTACGCACGATCTTGATTTCTCTCAACTCATCATGCTCTGCTCTGGTTTTGAGAAAGCACCACGCACTGAGCATTCTTTCCCAATCATCGAAGATTACATCGCAATACAAGAGATCTAAGATTTTGTCCCATCCACCTTCTCGCACGACAGCCTCTTGTGCCACTGGCACTGTCATCAGTACGGGCCGCAAATCTTGCCGAGATATGGAACCAGGCTGCTCCTCCAAGAACTCCCGCAGTGGAAGGCACAGATTCTTGTCGAAGTCATCAAGATGCTTTCTGGCTTCGATGAAGTGTTCCGTCAAGCTTGTGACTTGAGGCTGGGCAATATCGTCTCTACCCCAATCACCAAAAAGCCTGGACATGTCATTCTGCAAATTCTTTGCATACAAAGCTTCTGATTCAACTTCAAGCTTCCTTGACAGTGTGTGCATTCTGTTGAGCCGAGCTGTGGTGTAAAAAATGCTGACAATTGCTGTTGAGATAACAATCAGAAAAATCAACGTGCCAGACACTCCTGTTGACTGAGAAAAGCTATAACTTGCAACAGGCAACAGGCTGAGAACCAGAAGAACCAACAAAAATCGGCTCTCTACCTCTGCCACTGCTTGCGCGAGAATCAGCACACTAAGCTCCACATTCTGGCGCCAAGCATTTCCCGCAACACAAATCCTCTTGAAAAGGCCCGACCAGCGGTGCTTTTCGCAATAACCGCTCTCAGAAGAATGAAAGGAATAACATGAAGGATGGCTGCATGGGAACGGTTTGTTTTCATCAAACATCTCCTGTTGAGTGCTGTGAGTCTCTGTCTCTGCATCTTCTCCAGCTGATTCATCACTGCTTGTGGCGCTGGACCTGCCAAACCTGGTTGGCTCAAAGTACACTGAGCTGACGTGTGGCAGCTGGCGGGCACTGAGTTGTCGCATCCTTTGCCAGATGAAACGGAAGCTCCGGGTGCAACGCCCTTTGATGACACTGCCAAAATCAACATGAGCAAATCCAGGGAAGCAGCTTTGCTTTGGCAAACCTTCAATGTTGACCCAAGTGTCCAAGCTGCCTCGCAACCATGTCAGTGACTTAATGGATTGGTGGAGTTCCATCCTTGCATCAATCGACACCTGGCCACATCCGCTGAGATCAATGACTATACTCTCCAGGTTTCGAGAAGACTGCAAAGCTGAACTGAAGCATCCGAATTCTTCCAAACATGGCAAGTTCATGAACCTGCAGCCACTGGACCGTGGCAGCTGAGAAAAATCAAAATAACAATATCATGTCCATGGAATCAAAAAGAAAGCTTTGAAAGCGCAGTAAGCAATAAGCTGAAAATCATATTTTTTGCTGGTTCAAGATGAAGAAAAATGTGACTGGAAATTCACAACTCAGCGCACCATAGCTCCAAGTACATGAGGTTCTCCATCTCCCTCAGGGCAACTCCAAGCCCTGCCGCAGTCCTGAAGTGCGAGGAACCTGTGAAGCGCAACTTCAACTGGACCAAAGATTTCAAACACTGCACCGTCGATGTGAACATGTCCAGAGTCTCAAGACCCGAGAATCCCAGATCTAATCGCAAAACACGCAACTCTGCAGGAAGGCTTTCGATCAGCACGTCGAGCTCATGGTCAGAAAAATTCTGGCACCCAGTCAGTGAAAGCTGCACTATCTTTCTACCAACGTCTGCCTTTACAGCTCTGGCCAGGAGTTCAGTGCATCTTCCTTGAAGGACAAATCCGTACCAGCTGGATAAGGCGAAGTGCGAAGCAAGAGCTTCGTCTACTCGCTGGAAATTCGGATCCCCAGCGGGGTACGACTGCAAAAGCTCAAAGTCACAAGTTCCAAGACGAGATAGAGCAATGCTGTTCAGAATCCGAACTTTGTCAATATTCTCGGTGACACGAGCATCCTTGAGCTGTCCAACATTCAAACTCATGATTATGGCTCGGACACCTTCTGGAAAAAGAGAGAACTTAAATTAGAATGAGCCATTTTTGAGAGGTGACATACATAAAATGCAAATGGAGCAATATGAACAATTGACCATGGACCTTGTCCATTCAATCGATCGTCCAAATGCATAAAACGGTTCTCCAAACAACATCAAAACAGCAAAAGTTTCTTGCAATCCCGCAGCAAGTTTCTTCAATCTTTACCTTCAAGCCCTTTTCCAAAAGATGCAGAGGAAAGTGACGCTCACGAGCTGCTTTGTGGTGCAAGCCGATGATGCCGATCATTCGACTTTCCGCTCCGGCAAGTCCATCAGTAAGCACGTGAGCCTCAGAGATCAACAAGTTTGGAACGGTCGAAACTTTAAACATCACTTGTTACGTTCACCATGGTGCAGAAATGGGGGTTACGGTAAAAGGCGATGGTCTCAACCTTTCGATCAGACCACGCAAAGGAAATGTCCACACAAGGCCACCCCTTCTGTGTCGAGTAGCTTTGTCATATGCATCAGTGGCTCCCACATCAAGCAGTAAACGTCGTCTGGACCAGTTGCCCTCTCGATGTTCGATCGCCTTGGTCGCTTTTAGGGTGAAAATACCGGAATTGTTTACACCAGTGTCTCCTTTGATCCACTATCTACTGAAGCATTGCCTGCCTTTACGAACATGACCTGGTGTTGCTCCTGCTCGTTATCCCCCATTCACATCATGCTGTTTGGTTGTGTTTCGCATTTTGCACTGAAACAAGCTAGCTGCTAGCTGGACAAATCAAAACGTGTCCCTTCAGGCAGAATTCACAAACGAAAAAAACTCACGTTCATGTCACATTTTTCTCGTTTCATGATGCTTTCTCGTACTTCTAGGAATTTCTAAGGCTGGGGCAATGGCTTCCTCGAAGCAGCACCAAATCCTTTCGAAAGGCGTTGTTGTTGTTGTAAGCGGACGTCAACCTGCTCCTCACCGAAGTGAAGTAGTTAAGACGCCATAGTATGCCATCTGCGAGAATCAAGTTCCCATACTTCTCCAAGCAAAACACAAAAGAAGCGAAACCTGCCTGAAAAAAAGAAGTAAAATGAAGCACCAAAAGAACTCCCTCAGACATCTGCATAGCTCTGTAGAATGAAGTGCTGCGCGGGTTGCTTTTGATATCCTCTTCCACGCAGTGCTGGTTATTGGCATATGCACAGACCCAATAGAATGTACTGCTTGAGAGTTCTCGCACCAGAGCATGCTGCTCCAAGCAGGCCAGAAACTTACAAACAGGCTCCTAACAGATCTGCCAACACAAAATTGGACGTGCTTCAAAGCAATAGATTGACTTTCATCTATCATTACGCTGGATGTTCATTTCTTTTTGATACAGCATCCTATTGAGGTTCCGAAATGAACAAGTCCAAAACTCAACCAAGGCTTCTAGGGGAACGTGAATTATTAGCGGAAAAAGATCAGGGTTCAGATAAGGGGGGAGGAGTTGTGCAGAGGACTTTGATAGGTACAAGACACAAAGCATAGGGTGCGCAACTACCAAATTCGATGCATGGTTCATGGTACCTTTTTGCAGCTACAAAATACAGAACACAACATAATTTGACTCGGAAAATAATTCAAAATATGCACTATACAAAAACCAATGCATCTGAAGTTGAAAAATAGCTGAGAATCGGAAATGCCAACATGAATTTTCCCAATAACATTTTGTAGTTGGGCCTATGCCATCCAAAGTTCCGACCAACATAATTTCAGTAATTAAACATTTTGGGGGTGACTCGTGACGTCGAACTAAATCGTACATATTTTATTGATGTTTCAACTTCCTCAACATATATAATATATACAAAATGCACATGAGATTTCGTGTTGGATGCTTCACCTATTCAACTTGTACAACTACAAAATGCAAATTTTTGTGTTGGATGCTTCAACTAACTCAACATATACAACTACAAAATACAAATGAGGATTTGAAAGGAAACAACCACAAAATGAATGCAAATACAAAAAGGTTGGCCCAACTCCATTTTTTTGTACAAAACGACCCCTGGCTGGCAATCTGTACTGTAGCCCAAGTCCTCCCCTTTATGTAGCTGTTATTTGATCCCGGATGGAAAAAGAAACTTGTTGCTGACAGACAATGCAATAGCACGGTCTCAAACAACCTTGAGAGTTTGCCTATCCAAGGCTCGATCCAAGCATGTGACACAAACCAGTGAGGTCTCTGCACTTGAATCGCCATGATCTCAACCATGCTGCAGCCCTTTTTCGCATAGCCGTCCTGGGATTCTGCATAATGGGGCCAATTAAAAAAAGAAAAACGGTAGATTCCTCAAATTGGAAAATGTTGTCACATCATCAACAAATCCAGGCTTCGGTGGCTGGTTTGATGATCCAGTGATTCGCATCATACAGGTTGAAGGTCTCAAACTGCAGCCTTGTCCCACACTGTTCTCCGAAAGTCTCGCGCCATCTGTCAGCCATCTTGGAGATGAAAACAACGATCTTTGCCAATTGCTCGCGAGTGATCCCTCGCTCTGCAGTATCTTTGATGCAGAAAGCCTCCTCCGACGTGTGTGGGGCGACCAACAAATGCGGCAAATGAAATTGGAATGGAATTCAATCGAAGCATTATGCAGTAGCGAAGGTGGAATAATGGGCACAGCGTTTGTTGGTATTCGTTGCTGGTTTGTTTATGAATTCATGCTTTGCGACACACAAAAGACTACTGAGGACTTGGGATGTTTTGTTGTACAGTACACAATCTGTCTTGCGTCTTTTTGCCAAAAAAAAAGGAACAAAGAGGCAGGTGTGTCTCCTGGTTGGTGATCTCTGAGTAGTTTGTCAAGACCAAAGTGCCGTGGTGGGTTGCCTCCACAATGTCATCGCACTGCAGCTGGCAGACCCCACTTGACAGCAACTTGTTCCCATGCCATGGGCTGTCTGGCAAACGCTCTCGTAGCAATAAAATAATGTCAGCAGCGGTGCTCGAAGCAGTCAGTTTGATATCGAAATTGCCATGTCCAGGAATATCCACAGAGACCGACATGAGGCAGCGAATCCTTTGCGCTGTCCAGCGGCACGAATTAGGTGCAGTAACAATACACAGATTTGTCGATGGTTTATTTATCAACGCGCTTGGCTGCCCAGGGTTTCATGTCAAGGTGGCACCGCAGAATGCAGCTGCGGTGCAGGTCCGTCTTGAGAGGAAGCTACGGAAACACAAATTGGGCACCTCCAAAAGAACCAACGCAGTAAACACGGCCCACACGGTCAAGGAAAAGAACCACAACCACTGTGCAGAACTCCTTCGAAAGCAAGCTATGTCCAAATAGCAACACTGGATGTTCAAATGTATTATATACAATATTATTATTATATTTCTATAGATATATGATGATATATGCTAGACGATGGAACATCCGTCATCAAGAATATTTCATGCTCGGTTTCCGCGCTCGTCTAGGACCAAGGCCGAGAAGTCCTGCAGCTCTTCGACTGACAGCAAAATGATGGGCATTGAGTTCGTTTCACCCCTGGACCCTAAAGGATTCTACAGGATCCTAAAGAGACAAAACAAAAGAAATTCTGTGTTAAGTCATATTATGATCATCTATAATCCAACTTCTGACATGTACATCCTCCAATAGCGTAGCCTGGCCGTGAAAACCCAATGTTTCAATAGGAAAGTCAACTGTAAAAGCAGGATTTCCTATCACCAGGTTTCACAACCAAAGGAGGGCCTCAACATCTCTCTGGGACAGGGAAGGTGGACCCGGGTTTCTCTTAGAATACCGAGCCTCAACGGAAAATTCGAAAATCGTGGTTTTTCAATGCAGCTGACCTGCCCAAAATCCATGGGCCGCATAGTGCTTGAAAGATGATGGGAATGTATGCAATCTTCCAGATGTTCCAGAAATGTTCCAGAAATGTTGCTGCCAATGATATCCAATGATAATCAAGTCATAATCCCGTTGTTTTCCTGATGAAAATTCGTGTTACTAGTATGTCAATTGGTATCAACATGTATCAACTCTAAATCCCTGGCCATGTCCTCATCCCGGACTAATTTCATTCCTGACTAAATCATACTATAAATCCTCACCCCATGACTCTCGAAACTCGTCAATCGCGCAATGCTGGGTGTTTGAGCCGCTGCCGTGAGTGCTGGGATGAAGCCCTCATCTTTTTCCCGGTACGAAGCCCATTTCCACTGGGGACATAGTCCCTGTGTAATGGTGTGTACACATGCGAAAAGCCGCTAATATGGAGCAGCTTGCAGAAAATAGTCACATGGTTGTCCTTCATCGGTCCACAGTGGTGTAAACACCGCAAACAATGGAAACCATCTCAACTTGAAGGTGTCGAACATTGTTGAACTTCCATACAAGTTCTGGCATTGACAAGATGCTGTAAGCGTGTACATGGATAAACCCTAGCCCTTGCTGCATCATCCTCCATGGTAGAAACCCTGGCAATTGTCACTATCTGCAACGCTTTCCTCAAGCGATGCACCAAAACATTTGAGATCTTTCAGGGTCAAGTCCAGGCACCTTTTTCCCAGCTAAGCCATGGAATTTAACCCAGCGGATCGACCCCCACCAGATTCTGGAATCAAATGGTGTTAGATGGTGTTATGTTGTGAGATGTTGTCATGTTCTTAAAAGAAATGGCCATACACCCACAACTTGTCGAAACTCACAAACTCTCGGCGTGATGTTCTCATTTGGAGCCATTGGTGCCTGGTCCAAGGCGCAGCGTGCCGAATGGCAGCACTCAGCACTTCATGCGGTGGACACAGTGGTTACACCTGTCTCAGCGGCTTCTTTCCACGTTTTGCAAAGAAACAACTTCTCTTCTGCTCCCTTCAGACTGTCTTTTCCTTGGTTGAAGTGGAAGTCTTTCACCACAAGAGGGCCAATCTTGAACCCTACAAAGACTGAAAACGAGTTTCCAAGCAGAGGCAAGCTGGAAATACTGGGGAAGACATCCCACGCCAACAACCCCACCCAAAGATCGCAACAGGAACAGAAAGTTTCAAGCTGACTTTGATAACGTTGGCGACTTCGACTGGACTGAATTCTGGTGCCTCGGTCTTTTCAGAATGTCTCTCCAGTTGCAGCGCGCCAGGTGCCACTGCAGTGGGTACACTGGACCTCGGTCACCCAATGCATGCGCTCCCAAAACGAGTCGTAAAATCATTTAAAAAATCAGAATCCGCAAACACAACATGAAACTACTTTGTTGGAAGGAATCGTTGAAAGATGTTGAAAAGGGACTGAAATGGGGAATCTGAACACTTGACTGCGGAGGATCTTTTTTCGCCTCATCACTGCGAAATCCCAGCCCCAGGCAGAGCATCCCATCATTTTCACAGAAACAGACAGCGCGTAAACGCAGGATACCTCAGTTGAGGCACTTTACTTTTGAACAAATTGCAGGCAACTCGTTAAGACCGGTATCGAAAAGCACAAGCTTCTGCAACTGGTCGAGTTCTGACAGCATATTGGTCCATACTTCGTCATGCAACTCACTGAGATCATTATCGCTCAGCCAAAGCTCTTGCAGACTTCCGAGCCCTGCAAACAGATGATCCCAGACTTCCAGAGGCAACTTGCTGAGATCGTTTCCGCTCAAGTACAGCTCCTGCAAGTGGCTGAGCCCTGCAAACGATTTGGACCAGACTTTAGGAGGCAACTCGCCGAGTTTGTTGAATCCCAAGTTAAGTTCATGCAAGTTGCTAAGACCTGCAAACAGATTGGCCCAGGCTTCAGCAGGTAGCTCACTAAGCGTGTTCCGACTCAGGTCCAGCTCCTGCAACTTGCTGAGCCCTGCAAAAACTTCATCAGGTAGCTCACTGAGCGAGTTGTAATGCAGGTCGAGCTCCTGCAACCTGCCGAGCCCGGAAAAGACTTCAGCAGGTAGCTCACCGAGCGAGTTGTAACTCAGGCCCAGCTCCTGCATTTTGGTGAGTCCTGAAAAGACTTCCGCAGGCAACTCACTGAGTCTGTTAAAATCCAGGGAGAGCTTCTGCAAGCTGCTCAGCCCTGAGAAGACTTCAGCAGGTAGCTCACTGAGCGAGTTCAAATGCAGGTCGAGCTCCTGCAACCTGCTGAGCCCGGAAAAGACTTCAGCAGGTAGCTCACTAAGCTTGTTTCTGCCCAAGCCAATTTTTTGTAAGCTGCTCAGCCCTGCAAACAGATTGGCCCGGACTTCAGAAGGCAACTCGCCGAGTTTGCTGGTCTCCAGATTGAGATCTCGCAAATTTCTGAGCCCTGAGAAGACTTCAGCAGGTAGCTCACTGAGCGAGTTGAAACTCAGGTCCAGCTTCTGCAACTTGCTGAGCCCTGCAAAAACTTCAGCAGGTAGCTCACTGAGCGAGTTGTAATGCAGGTCGAGCTTCTGCAACCTGCCGAGCCCGGAAAAGACTTCAGCAGGTAGCTCACCGAGCGAGTTGTAACTCAGGCCCAGCTCCTGCATTTTGGTGAGTCCTGAAAAGACTTCCGCAGGCAACTCACTGAGTCTGTTAAAATTCAGGTTGAGCTTCTGCAAGTTGCCGAGCTCTGCAAAAACTCCAGCACGTAGATCCCTGAGCGAGATGTGTTGCAAGTTGAGCTCTTGCAACCTGCCGAGCCCGGAAAAGACTTCAGCAGGTAGCTCACTGAGCGAGTTGTAACTCAGGTCCAGCTCCTGGAGTTTGCTGAGCCCCGAAAAGATTCCGCCCGGCAACTCAGTCAGCTTATTGTCAGAAAGGTCGAGGGTCTCCAACAAAGGAATTTTATCAAGGACATTGTGTGGCAGTGAGGTCAACTTGTTTGCGCTCAGATCGAGAACTTGTAGCCGCGGGCTGTGCTGCAAAAGCTCTTGAGGAAGTACGCTCAGCTCGTTTCCAACAACGATCACTGTGCCCCCCTTCTCATCATTTTTCCCCCCCAGCAAGAATTTCTCCAGGGCTGGCATCGGGCGCAGCAAGTCTTCTGGCAACACCTTCAATCGGTTTTGGCTGAGGGACAAGATTCTCAAATTTGACAAGCCGCTGAACGTGTCTGACTCCACCTGTTGCAAACCCAAACCGCCCAAGTCCAGCAGTTGCAAGCTGTCCAACGGAGCGAACACCCTCTCAGGTAAAAAAAAACAACCGATTCCCAGACAGTGATAACCGTTGCAAGCCCCGTGAAGAGGTGAAGGCATCCTCCGCAATACTTGTGATGCTTTGCTTGTTCAAACTCACATCTTTGAGGCGAAGAACGCCTACAAGGCTGCAGCTCGCAAGGTGCTTTGCACCATGATCTTTTTGGTGACAGCGGCACGGAAAGCATCCAAAATCAGTCGTGTCAATCGGGTAGAAGTGCGTTGAAAGCAATAGAGCAATGATCGTGACCAGCAAACAGGGCGAATACCTAAGCAGCGGTTGCAAGGAGAAACGAAGAACTCGAGTTCATCCATCAAAGCCCAATGGTATGAAAGGGGGGCCATTCTGGCACACAAACTCACGCCATGAAACAGAAACCCAATCTCAGGTATCCAACTTTTTTACTTCGCAAATGCCTGTGGTGTGACTCCTGAAATACTTGGAATGCACCTCGGAATCCTGGACCTGTGAAACTCCTGGGAACCCTGAAACGTGCCGAAAAACCTTTCAAAGCCCTGGAACCCCATGGAACCCCCTTGGCTGTTGATGCTGCTGGGGAACAACTATGTAAGAAGTGGTGTATCAGATTGTATTAGTATGCTTTAGGACGCACAAAAGGGTGCAGCAAGTACAGTAAAGCTGAGAACAACAAGACGCCTTCTCTGTACAAATATGTTGAGGGGCTTTGAGATACTCACATGACAAATTGTGTCAACAGGTTGCGGAACCACGATGGATTGAAAATTGCAGAAACACATAAAACGAAGCCAATGCAGCAAAAATGCAAGGCTTTGCAACAAATCCGGTATCTCTTTGAGCAAGAAAATCGCGATGGGCTCAGCAGTGACTGGGAAGCAGAGCTCGGTAAGCTTTGCAACTTCTTGCAGTAGGTCAATCGATGGCTTCGCTCCAAGGCACGGCAAACAGTGCAAACGTGTGCAAGTGAATAGTAGACAGCAAAGAAACCAAAAAAGTCGCCTGGGAATGCAAATGCCGGGTCCAACTCTGCTTGGAAGTTCACCGAAGCCTCATCCCCGAAATTTCCTGAAATGGCTTGGCCCAGCTGTAGTTCGTAGATGGCCAGCAAGGTGATGACGAGGTATGTGGTGGTGTAAGCAATATCGAGAACTGCATCCATCATCGCAGCGCCACGGCGCACCCACATCACAGTGGGTAAACCCAACAAAATGGTTGGATAGATGCTGTTCAAACAGAGGAAACCCACAAAAGCCCAAAAACATCCTTCAAACACATCTGAATGCTTCGGAGCTGAATGAAATGCAAATGACACAAGGCCACCCATGATTTGGAGCTTTCCAAAGGCCTGCAGCATCACTGTGAACAATTGCAGCATTGCAACTTTGAAGCCGTAGAGCCTGCCTTCAATGCCAAAATACTCCTCATAGAGCAGCTGGGTGGGTTTCAGCGGCCTCAACTTGAGATTGGCTGACCAACACCGGCGCAAGTCGCTCAGGAGGACGATGATCAAGGCCAGGTATGGCAAAGAGAAAACAATGGAGGGCAACAGCTGCGAAAGGCTCTCCTCCAACCATCCCCCAGAATTAGACGTGACAGCCTCCGGCAATCTCCCATCACTGGGCTCAACTGTCTGCTTGAGCGCGAAGGCATCTCGGATCAGCTGCGGAAGGTTTGAACGGATGAAAGGTGGGCTGTACCGCACAAAGTACTGCCCCCCAAGGTACACTGCTGCAAGTAATGAGCTGATCCGAAGAAAAGCAACAACAACGACCACCAATCGTGATTGCTGTGCTGGTCGCCCAGACATAAGCAAAGGATCTACCTGCAAACTGCCTGCCAGGAGTCCCACCTGTTCTGCCAAGTGGTGCACATTATCCACTTGATTTTCCAGCTTTGTCAAAGAGGCTTCACGGAAACGGATCGTGGCTAAATAGTGGTTGATCTTGACCACCATCTCGGCACATCTGACACCAGCATGGACTGAAGCAAAAGAATCGCGGGTACGCACAATCTTGATTTCTCTCAACTCATCATACTCTGCTCTCGTTTGCAGAAAGCACCACGCACTGAGCATTATTTCCCAATCATCGAACATTACATCGCAATACAAGAGATCTACGATTCGACTGGGTTCACCTTCTCGCACGACAGCCTCTTGTGCCACTGGCACTGTCATCAGTACGGGCCGCAAATCTTGCCGAGATATGGAACCAGGCTGCTCCTCCAAGAACTCTCGCAGTGGAAGGCACAGATTCTTGTCGAAGTCATCAAGATGCTTTCTGGCTTCGACGAAGTGTTCCGTCAAGCCTGTGACTTGAGGCTGGGCAATATCGTCTCTACCCCAATCACGAAAAAGCCTGGACATGTCATTCTGCAAATTCTTTGCATACAAAGCTTCCGATTCAACTTCAAGCTTCCTTGACAGTGTGTGCATTCTGTTGAGCCGAGCTGTGGTGTAAAAAATGCTGACAATTGCTATTGAGATAACAATCAGAAAAATCAACGTGCCAGACACTCCTGCTGACTGAGAAAAGCTATAACTTGCAACGGGCAACAGGCTGAGAACCAGAAGAACCAACAAAAATCGGCTCTCTACCTCTGCCACTGCTTGTGCAAGAATCAGCACACTAAGCTCCACATTCTGGCGCCAAGCATTTCCTACAACACAAATCCTTCTGCCAAGGCCCGACCAGCGGTGCCTTTCGCAATAACCGATCTCAGAAGAATGAAAGGAATGACATGAAGGATGGCTGCATGGGAACGGTTTGTTTTCATCAAACATCTCCTGTTGAGTGCTGTAAGTCTCTGTCTCCGCATCTTCTCCAGCTGATTCATCACTGCTTGTGGCGCTGGACCTGCCAAACCTGGTTGGCTCAAAGTACACTGAGCTGACATGTGGCAGCTGGCGGGCGCTGAGTTGTCGCATCCGTTGCCAGATGAAACGGAAGCTCCGGGCGCAACGCGCTTTGATAACACCGCCAAAATCAACATGAGCAAATCGAGCGAACCATTCTCGCTTTGGTAAACCTTCAATGTTCACCCAAGTGTCCAAGCTGCCTCGCAACCATTTCAGTGACTTAATGGATTGGTGGAGTTCCATCCTCGCATCAGTCGACACCTGGCCACATCCACTGAGATCAATAACTATATTCTCCAAGTTTCGCAAAGACAGCAAAGCTGAACTGAAGCATCCGAATTCTTCCAAACATGGCAAGTTCA